CCTCAATACGCACGCCAAAAACACACGCACACCCTTTGCATACGCGTGTACTCTGAAAAATAAGGAAATTGACAATTTTCATCTTATTTTCCTTAATTTTGTAATTTTACCCCTAAAAAGGACAATTCCTTTTCCATAATTCTGAAATCTACTACTTTGTCTCACTAATTATGTAATTTTACCCCTAAAAACTATGTCTTCCTTCTCTTAATTTTTTAAATATTTTTAAAATTGTATCTTTGTTTCACTAACTATGCAATTTTACCCCTAAAATTTGTGACTCCTATTGACTAATTTTTGCAAAATTTTATTTTAAAATTTTATCACGAATAAAATTAATACAATAATAATGTGTAAATTATTTATAAAATGACAATAAGAAAAAATTTTGAAAAAGTAGAAAAATATTGTAAAAGATAGGAGTTTGGCTTCGCCATTTGACAGGCATGCCCAACTCAACCAGGGAAGTGAGAATTTATACTCAAGTCCACGACTACCGATTTCCAATGTGAGGATTACCTCACAACATTCGATAGTTGGTATAGAGTTGGGTGCCTGTACCCCTGGCTACTTTCCAAACCCTATAATTACAATAAAATTCTAGGATGTTTATTATTAATATGGCCAAAATTTAGTACAACAAAATCGGAAGGGCGGACAATGCCCTTACCGACATACGGTTTATAAATTTTAGTAAGGGGTTGAGTAATAATTGAACCATCTCTAATGGATGGTCTAAGAAAATTGGGATATTTAATTAAAATTGGAATATTATCTGATTTTGTGAAATCAAAAACTTGTTTCTTAAAATTTTCGTAGCAGAGACCTTGGTTGTTGATGACATCCCAGTTGAGAGTCATTCCACGGACTTTGAGCACATAGTCCGGTTCAATGTTGGGTGTAGACTTCTTTTGAAGCTTCAGTCCATATTGTTTGGCACCCCCAGAGCAGTACTCCAAAATATCAAAGCCTGGGTATTCATCTGTAAACTGACCCAGATGAGGCCCTAATTCAAGTGGGCAATTGTTATCTGGGTGGGAGAAGATTAATGAATCGGTGTCAGTGTAAAGGAGCTGACACCCTGGCGTTCTGACAACCTTCTGCATGGCGTGCAGAAGGTGAATTCTTGCTGCTGAGGTGGTCCAGAGCGAAATGATGACGTTTGAGGAGTCATGTTCCTCCACCCAATCTTTTTTCTTGGTGTAATCGATAAGCACAGTCCCATCTTCAGTCAATTCATGACAATGATTAACTGTTATTGCTGGGTCATCACACATTTTCACGTATTCACTTGGGTCGTCTGTAATTTTGCACTGAGAAAGACCAAAATTACGGAGTGAAAATCGACCCCATAAGTTGTTTAAACACAATTTCGCTTGCGTCCTCTTCCCCTTATTGGCTGCCATCTTCTCCCTTTCGATGTTAATCCCAAACATTTCGAAACATTCCTTCATAAACTTATCTCCTTCAACTTGTCCCCTTTGATGGTGTTGTCAAAGCCTGATGAGTGAATTTTTTGAGCCATAAATTCACTAATGTAGGGTCTGAAGAGCGTGTCGTCAAATTGGTTAAATTCCAGCACCCTAAATAATTTGGTGACCACATACCCCTCTTTGAGGGCCTCATTTAGTTCAATAGATGTGCAGGTGCTAACCCACCCTCTTTGTTGGTCTGTGTGAGGGCAGCAATAATTTTCGTCGACATCTCCTTTAGGGTGCTCTTTTGCACAAGTAGAACATAGGGGAAATAGCAATCTTTCGTCATCATCTTCCCCAATTTTCATAGGTAGGACTGGAACATCAATATTTCGTGGTGGGATGATGAAAAGTTTGAGAAGAGCAAGATTGTATTTGTTGTCTTCAGGCTTAGTCCAGTTGACATCTTTGTTGATGACGTGGACTTCAGGGTGTCCAACTGGGTACCTTGTTGAAACATTAATAAACGGGTAGAGGGAAGTCACGTCGTAGTAGGAGATTTTCTGACCCGGCTCAGCCTTGTGGAAGAGTTTGAGAGGACCAGTCCTTCCACCATAGAAGGCCTCTCTAATATTTATTGGTCCATCATCCAGGTATTTTTTAAACATCTTTCTCATTTCATAATCTTTTGCTACCATATCCATGATTTGACACTCCCAATATACTTCCACATTCACTCCCAAATTCTTTATAAAATTTATACGCTGGTTGTCTTTTTGTCTTTGTTGACCAGCTGTGAGACCTGTTGGAAGCTTAAGGTCGTCGTCAGGATAGCATTTGCTGCATCCATGCCAGCAGCAACCATTGACTTCAATAGCCAATTTCTTTTCCTCAACCCATCCATCTAATTTATAGTTGCCCATCTTTTTCTCTCCATTTTTCGAGTGGGCATTCCTCACTTCTACATTATTTTTCTCAGCATACCATTTGAGGAACTTGAGGGCAAGTTTACTTTGATTGTCCGCGTTGTCGTACCCTCTTTCCGGGACAATCCCAACATGATTTGACTTGAGATGATTCATCCTGAAATGCTTCATGCAGGCAGAAGCAATTGTCATGGACTCGCGAAGAACATCAAGTCCATTGGAGACACCCAAAAATTCTTTTCTGAAGGCAATGAGTGCAGCCATGAGGATTTCAACATCGTTTGTACAATAGGCTGCTAGTTGTTCATTTAAATTGAAGGGTTCTTCTTTGTGTTGGTCAAACCATTTATCGAATTGAACCCTCTTTTCAGGCATCATACCATTAGCTAGGTAATCTTCCATTGTTGGGAAGATTTCTTTCCCATAATTGCTCGGATTGTTGGCAAGATGAGGGAAGAAGGGTTTGTCTTCCACTTGAAGAGCAAATGCCGGTACCAGAGAAGCCAAGGGCATAGGCATTAAATTATATGTGTCGTGGAAGATGACCCAACATTTCTTATCATTTTTCACCTTCATTTCATACATTTTATTCCCATTCTTGATCATATCTGGAGTCAGTCCCTGGAGATACAATGCTTTGAAGACTAGAACCATATCAAACCTTCCTCCAAAATGAGAGAAGGCTACTGTGTCTGTAGAAAAGTTTGTAATCCAAGCCACAAAATCAGTCAGAGGATCATTTGTAACGTTCAGTTGATCCACTGATGTATTAGAGAAAGGTTGATGGGAGAAGGTTATAGACCGATCCTCACCACAATCCTTGCAATTGTCCGAACAATTAGTAATACACTCGGGACAATTGATTTTTGCAGAAATAAAATTCACCTCATGTAGTTTCCCTTTTTCGCCTTGTTTATGTTGCATGGTTTCGAAGTCAAAGGCGATGATCCGGTACGGTTTGGGCTTCCGTGGAGTAAGAGGTTTAATGAAACATCCTCTTTTTGGATCGTGGAAGCTGAAACATGTGTTGCAATACCGTTCTGAACACACATGTCCACTGCGACCGTTCCGGTTGTTGTCTTTTACAATCCAAACCACACCACATTTCTCGCACTTTTTGGAGTTGTTGCAAAAGTTAGATTTGAGATGATGGGTGTAGCAGTCTTCATTATTAAATTCCTTAGTCATCCGGAGCAATGGTTGGAGTAGTTATTCGAAGGTTGACACGGAAAGCCTGGTCCAATCCTGGAGCAATTTTGACATTTTGCTAAGCAGGATGTAGAATGGTCGCTCTGACGATGATAGATCTTTTCACATGATAGGCAATAAGCTTCCCCAAATAGATCAGATGCCCTTCTAACCCCATCAAAATGATTATTGTTGTAATAAAGTAAAATAGGGGTATTGTAATTTTCAGCCCCATATTTAAAAATAGGCTTCTCATCCAATTCCCCGAAAATAAAAACTTTAAGCAGGTCGCCGTTCCTTGAATTCCAAAAATTAACCACTTTGGGCACCCATTCCATTGCATCATAAGTAGACATGTCAACAGGTGCTCCCACATTTATCATAAGATTCTTGGTATCAGACTTGAGTTGACGAGTACCTTTTCTGTTGTGTATATAGTCATAGAATTTTTGTTTCGACCAGGAACATATTGAATAAATATATGAAGCCATCAATGCATAGAATAAGCAGAGGTTGTCGGAATTACGAATTTTGATCAAGGCTTTGTCGTTGATCCGACGAGAAGATTTACCACCACTACCAATGATCATCCTTGTCGTAGGGAGATTCTTCTTATCTATGGTAGTAACGGAGACGGTGAAGGGTTCGCCCCAAAGCATTCCATTATCCTGCTTCTTAGACTGGGCCACTTTGAGGAATTGATTAAGTATAGCGTCGATGGTGTTGTTAGTGATCCCCCTAATAGGGATCCAAATGTCAGTTTCAAGCAACTGACTGCTCACAATACACCCGAGTTGATCGGGCTCAAGATGGTGTTCACGGCTTGTAGATATTGTTTTATCCATACATGTTTGGAATATTTCCTGGAGTAAGGTTTCAGGGTTAGGGGGTAATTTATTAATTAAGAATCTTGTAGTCAGCTTGGTCATGTTGAACTTCTTGGTAAGTTTAGTTTCCTCACCAAGTTGTTTTACATAATCACCAGCACCTTTTTGTAATAGATTATCAATAAAGAAATGTCGTGCTTTCTTCGAAGGTGGGGGAGACATTGTAATAAAATAAAATACGAATAGAGGTGCAATAAATAAATTACTATTTTCTAAATTTTTCAAGAATGAGTATGAAATATAAAATCCTCTTTTAATGAAAATATTCTCTAGAATAATTGATGTGTTGTAAAATAGGAATTTTACTGAAATTCCATTTCATTATATTTCCAGTCGGAGAGGGAAGCTAAATTTGCATAGAGAAAAAGCAAAAGAATTTCAAACAATAAAGAGAGTGAGTGAATTTCGTAATACTTAAACTTTGTTTCCTTTTATTTTCTCCTTTAAGTCTCTTGGGATTTGAAAAGGAAGAATAGCAAAAGAAAGAGACAAGCGAATGGTGTAATATGTAAAAATTTTTAGGGAAAGCTTTAAATTTTAAGGAATTTGCATATTTGAATAGGAATGAAAGGGCTTTAAATTTTAGAAATTATTGCAAATGAAAAGATAAAAATGTTGCATATTAGTTTTTTTTTTTGGTTGAAAGACGACGCGACGAAGATGTTTTTGTATAACTTTATAATTTATTTTTTAATTTATATTAATTTTATTTTTATCAATATTTCCATTAATTTTACCCTATTTATATTTAATTATAATTATTTTTTATTTTTAGTATTTTATTCTTTTTAATTCCATTAATTTATTTTCATTTTGTCATTTTTCCCTCTTAATACAGTAATTTTTTATTTACAGCTTTTATTCTTCCTTTTTAAAGGAAATTCTTTAAATTTTTACAAAAGGAAAGTATTGCGTAATTTTTCGGGTGAGGGAAGACGGGACATTTGCATAATTTGGGAGATATCAAAATGTTTAGGTTTGAGGAAAACAAAAGAAAAGCCCTATAGGTTTTGGTTAGTGAGGTGGGTGGAGGAAGGAGAAAGAAGGAAAAGCTTCAACAGCTTTTGGTTGGGAGGGCTGGATGGGGGTTTTTATTAGAGAGGGGTGGGTGGGGAGGAAAAGCCTCAAAACCTTTTGGTTGGCGGGGAAGGGTCCGGGAGGGAAATGACTTCCCCTTTTAATTTTGATTGATTAACTGTTTTACTTTTTGACAGGCGACTCGGGGGTCGGGTTAACTACTTATACCGCATTTCCTGTAATACAGTGTGTAGAAACGACACTATTACCAAAAAAAATTTTGTTTAGCAGTCAAAAAATCCACAAAAATTTTTGTGAACATAACTATCAATATAGATAAGAATTACAAAAGAAGTTAAGTTCTTATGTATTCCCATCATCGAATCTCAAAATCCGAAAATCAACGTAAAACGGGGGTAAAGGTCTTTAAAAAATATTTTCGACCCCTTATAGAGTGGGTTAAATTTTTATTTGATACGATTCTGAAAGCCCTTTAAATTTGCTATAATTTTTATCCCATTATACAGAAAAAATCCACTGTCGTGAGCCAGTGATATATTTTCAAGTCATAAAAATCACTCAAACGCCCCTGAGATTACTCCCCCTTTAATAATACTCCCCCTTTGGAGGAGAGTTGAATAATAGTACTCCCCTCTGAATTTGAACTCCCCCTTTAATACTAATACACCCCTCTAAAAAGTACTCACCTAAATCTATATGAATTATAAGACCATCGAAATTTAGACATTGTATTCTTTTATTTACGCTAAGAAATATTCGTAGTATATATCGCAATTTGGATGGTGAAGAAAAAAATAAATGGGAATTTGTTTAATAATATCGCTCTTTTTCTAAATCTTTCTTCAAATTCTTTCCTCTATTTTCTTTAGCCCAAAAATTTTCCAAAGACTCCTTTTCGACGTTTAGGGTTGGCATTTGATGATTCACCCTCATTATCATCAATTTCTTGAATTGTGGGCCCAATACCGTTATTTGAGTAGATCACATCTTCATGACGTCCTCCACGTCCATTACGAGAATAACTGGAAAATTAAAATTTAAAAATCATTAAGAATTAAAGAATAAATTTTTTAGAGAAGGAAAAAACGTTAAAAACGGACTAGAATCATCGGTATTCAAAAATAATTTTTCCCTTGTTTATGGACAAAAGACGGCAGCAGCCGAGTACTCGACCTAACGATTGTTTCTATAAAATTTTTCCCCAGTTTCTAGAACTCAAAAGAGAGCAGGATTTCACATACTCCAGAAATTTTAAAAAACTATGAGAACAACGACCCAGACCTCAAATCTAATAAACCCAACACCTAATTTTAACCTAGAATTTTTATAAAAATTATTTACCGTCCCCTTTGTTGTTCCTCCTCATCGTCCGGAATAGTTATTATTGGTGCTGAAGTTTCTCCAGTGTTGTGAAGATATTTTCGAGAATCTCGTCCTCTTTTTCCATTTTCGATTGCTTGATTACGATGAGTATTATGGCCACCAAAGAGTCCAGCAATTCCATTCAAATTTTCCCGAGCTTGGGTTTTGAAACGTTCATTAAAGTCGCGGGCTTCGGCTAAAAAAGAAAATTATTCTATTTAAATATTTAAGCTTTCAAGCATGCCAGGATTGGCCCCCTACCCATCGAGAAGTCTTTGGGGAATGAGAATGTCGGGAAATGTAATGTCGAATAATGGGGACCAACCCAACAAAATATTTAAACCAGAATCTTTAGATTGTTTTCAGATCCTGGGAAATACCGGACTCGGAATAATTTCGGAATACTAAACAGACTCCGATTGGGACAAATTATATGTCATTCGACTCAGCTCGGCGAGCTGAGTCGAATGACATCGAAAAATCGATTGGGACGTAACTATGGGTCGAGATACAGGGCTCGAAATGGTCAAAAACCATAGGGGGGACCAAGCACTTTTTGGTGTGAAAAATTCGAATATGCAATTAATAGATCATTTGAAAGAGCTCTTCAAGCTGAGTCGAATGACACCAAAATCGCCGTGCCGCGCTTCGCGCGGGGTTTTGCGGCACGCGCCTCGCGGGGAGTCTACGGGCGATGGGTCTGGGCTCGTTAGTTAATCCTATTCCAATTATCGCTGTGATGGGCATGCCCGGCTTCCTCCGCAGCAGCAAGAACATCCACGGAGAACAAATGTAAGGAGCTAAAAGAAACGATTGTAACGTTGTCAAATCAAGTCGGATTTTGCTGATTTTGGTGTCATTCGACTCAGCTCGAGGAGCTCTTTCGAATGAGCTATTATTCGCATTTTCGAATTTTTCACCCCAAAAAAGTGCTTGGACCCCCCTATGGTTTTTGGCCATTTCGAGCCCTGTATCTTGGCCCATAGTTGCGTCCCAATCGATATTTTGATGTCATTCGACTCAGCTCGCCGAGCTGAGTCGAATGACATATAATTTGTCCCAATCGGAGTCTGTTTAGTATTCCGAAATTATACCCCCGGACTCTAGGACGACCTTAAGATTCTTTAGATTCACTGAAGAAACAATCCTTGATCAAACTATGAACCAGAAAAGAAAGTTAAACAAAACATTGAATGATAAACAAACATTTGAATGATTCACCAAAAATCCCACAGACTAAATTCCAAGCAAAAAAAAATCCCCAATAATTCCCGTCTAATTGTAAGGAATAAAAAAACAAATCCAATAAAACAAATACCTTCCTCCATATTGACAAATTTTTGCTGAGAACGAAACTTTCCATCTTTGTCACGTTTCTTTTCAACAATGTGAGATTTATCTCCAATGTTATGTCCAATCGATACTTCTTCGCGTTCTCCGTCACGGAGAGCTCTTAAAATTCTCAAATTAAAAAGCCGAAGAAACTAAAGAAACCTTCGAGTTTCCGACACATTTCCAGCCTTTCTCGTGGATGACTGGACATATTTTGGAGGCCCATTGCCATCAAAAGAGACCATTGTAGATTGAGACATCACAAAAGAATTGGGGTCATTCAGAGCCACATTGTGCATGTTTTGCTTTAAAATAAGAGAAAAATGGTTAAAACTAGCTAAAGAATTTCAAAAAACCATTTGAGACATCATCCCACCAAGCATGGACCCTCCAAATCCAAACCCACCAAAAGGGTTCATCATCTGATTATTAAAGTTGCGATGAGGGGACGTGAAATCTTCGTCGTCAGTCAACATTGGATGATGGGGCATTCCATTCCCGAAACCATTCAGCATATTAAAAGCATCGCCAAGCATTGCTTAAAGTTTTTAGGTTAAAAGAATTTAAAAAATTAAACAAACAATTCATCATATTGTCCATTTGCCGCATTTGACGATGAATATGGCTGAAAATTGTTAAGGTTAGTTGAAAATAAATTGTCAGACTACATGATCAGCCGAAACATAAGGATATAAAAAAAGTCAATAAGACTACCTAATTTGGATCACCTATTAAAATCTCTGATTAAAGTAACTAGACCAGTCCTTAAAGACAAGACTGCCCCTTACAGAAGCTCACTTATAAGACTCATTTGAAGAGAACACCAAAGAATTCCTATTGCGGGGTGATATTAAAATTTAGTTACTTAAGATAAGATAAAGAGTATATGGCAAAATGTAGACGTATTCCTAAGCTCAACAAGATAATCTTCCTTCCACTAAAAAACAAAAAAACTTACTCGAAAGGGTTTCCAAAAGGATCGCCACCTCCACCAAACATGATTTATTTTAAATTTGATTGAAGATCAATAAAATAGCAACAAGTAGTTTTTGACTAAATTGAAAGAAAAATTACTAAAAATGACACTTTTTAAAAGTTGCTAGAAGTGTGACTTTCGAGAAAATTCGCCATTTCCTCATAGGCGCGTCAATCGATAATTTCCATAACGACAGAATTTCGACGTGAAAAGTCAAAACACCAAAATTTTAATTAAATTTCGAAATATTGAATGACAAAATGGTCAAAATTAAAAATGGTCAAAACGGAATAGTTGAAGGGATTGATCGTCATACTTTTTGATTTTTAGCTTGCTCTAGGAATTTTTAAAGGTTTGATGATTCACGACGTTCTGGCTTGACTTCATGGGATGCTTGAGGAAGAAAGTTTGAACTGATTCGTTAAATTTTAAAAATAATCAGATTAAATAAAGACTTCATTTTCTTAATCTTTTTCAGTTTAACTAGAGTATTTTGAATACATATTTGCAATTTTCTAAATTATTATTCTTTGAAAACGTCAATTCATAATGTCTATGCAATCAACAATTCCTCCACCTCCGCAAGGTTTGTTCGTTATTTGCTTGAGATTTGGGGGTTTTGGAGAGAAGGGAGAGATTTGGGAGTCTATTAACTTTTTTTGGGGTACACCCCGATGTACCGCGAGCCCAATGTACCGCCGAGCTATAACTTTTTTCGAAATTGTTGAATCCGTGGCGCCCTGGTATGGTTCGATGCGGCTCGACATGCTAACCGAACCGTACTCGGGCGCCACGGATCCGACTATTTTGAGGAAAGTTATAGCTCGGCGGTACATTGGGCTCGCGGTACACTGGCCTGCTCCCCTTTTTTTATGATTAATGAGGTAAATAATGTCTGAAATTTCATAAAGGAGGAGGCAAGTACTATAAAAAAGTATTTTCCTTGATTCGTTTCTTTGAGAATAGAACCTCGATTCAATTTTAGGTCAATCTCTTCCCAGAGATTATCCATTTCTGGCTTACATTTCAACCTGTTTTAATTCAGTCTATTATGAGGGGTTTGATTTAGAATAATCTTAAACTATCAAACAAACTTTGGAGTCTTCCCCGTTACACGCTGAACCCACATGACCTTTATCAGTGGAGTGGCAGTATTTTTATCTGCTTGTTTTTGGCAATTCCCCATTACTTTAAGATCCAGAATTGCAACGAATAATCGATTCAACGGCAGAATTTGTTGCCAAAAATGGCCCTGCATCTGAAGAAGTTGTTAGACAACAAAACAGAAATGATCCCCGATATGTTTTTCTGTTCGGAGGGGAATTCTTTGACTACTACAAATATAGATTGCTGTTTGAAATACAAAATTGTGAGTTTTTTTTTTGCTTTAAAATTGAGTATTTTCTTTTTAATTTCAGTACAAGTAATTGCTCAAATACCTCCACCAACAACGAAGAATTCGTTGGAATTTGAATTAAAAAATGCAGAAGAACAAATAACTTGTCTTAGGAAGCAAATAATTGATTCCGAATCTAATTTAAAAGCACACGAGATGGCACTGAATTCTCAAAGACAGGTATAATGACTTGTTATTTTTGTGTTTTGGGGTTCCTTTCCTTCGTTTCTACTCGAGGTTGGGTGAATTCACCTATTCGAGCTTTTGAAACCCCTGCAATTAGGTTTTAAGCCGATTTAGGTATCGGTCCTTTCTTCACTCATACCTACTATCCGTTGAAAGGCTGGTACAACCAAAAAAAATCGGAAACAATCGCAACCAACCGAAAGACTGGTTGCGATTTTTGGTGTCTCTGGTCATTAACATTCACCTTTTTCGTGGTCTTCGGACCTTTGGAGTCCCCTACCACTTGATTTTCTTGTTTTTAGGTACTCTGTTTCTCGGGAGTTTTTCGGGAGTACTCTGTTTCTCGGGGGACCAAACTCAATCCCAAACAAAAATTTATTTTAACTTTATTTCTCAATTTTAAGTCAAAAATTGATGTTTTATGGAGAGCAAAAGAGGATAAACGCATTGATGATTTGGTCAAACAAGTTGGACTAAATATCTCATCTTTTGACAAATGTTTGGAACGGCTACAAGAATCCGGCTCCAAAGATACAATTTCGGTCTGTCTCACTCTGACATGTAAAAATTTCGTCAAATTTCTTCCCTTTAAGTTTCTTAGAATTTCCCAGGGTTTAAATATTTCCCTCAATTAAGAAAAATTTTTTTAAGTTTTATGGGCATACAATTTTTCTTTTATTGTATTTTTGGTTTTTAGAACAGTAAAAAATGGATTTTCGACAATTGTAGTAGTGATCGTTTGCGAGAAATTATTCTTACTTATCTTCTGCACAGGTTTTTTGGCGTGTCATCACACTTTTTTAAAGAAATTTTGTTGTTAGCATGGTTTATCTAAATTATTTTTAGAGTGCGGGAACGTACAGCAACCGATGCGTTTAGACTTCATGTTCTTTACTTAATTAATGATTGGGCACATTATTGGTGAATTTAGAATTTTTGTGGGATTTTTGGGATGGTTTTGGGTTAGATGACTGGACCAGTGATTTAACGAGCTATTTGAATTCCGAAACCTGGACAATTTTTCGATCCGATATCCTTTCCGAGAAATTTTCGAAAACCCAATCCGAAATCCTACCCGAATTTTTTTTCTCTGTCATCCCTGATTGGGCCTTGCAAAGATTTTTGGTTTTTCCTGTTTTTTGCTCAAGTTTTATTTTAAATAGGGGTAGTTCTCCTTCATACAAATTATGTACCTCTTCGTTTAGGAAGGAGAACAAGCTTTTTCGACTGACTTGGGCCCTATTTCTCACCTTTTTTAAACTTGGAGATGGGTAAAGATGACTTCCAATTTGCAAATTTCAACTTGGAACTTCTTTCAAAGTTCCAAAGTTGAAATTTGCAAATTTGAACTTTGGAACTTGTATTTTAAAAAATATTAGGGACTTGTGCCTAGAAAGTTATTTTCCAGTTTTTAATTTGAATTTTCAAAAAGATGAGGCATAGGCAAAAAAGTTCGTCTCAACTTTCAACCTTATTTTCTTTATTTTTAGTCATCGCAAGAAATTGGACAGCATCCGTCAAATGCTTTCACGTTATGTGCCCAAACTTTACGCTTATGCTAGTAATAATGCTGGGACAATAAACGCTTTTAGTGAGAAATTAGAAAAATTAGTTGGTGTTTGGGAAGGACATAAATACTTTGATGATAGTTGTTTCAAGGTTTTTTTTGATTAGTAAAAGTTGGGAGGAAAAATATTTTTTTGAATTTAGCAATTACGAAATCCTGTCGCTGTTATAGCCACAGAACAGGCAACTGTGGCTGCATATCAATCACAGTTGGCAATTGAAGTGGATAAAGAAATTGGTGAAACACTTGGGAGTTATGCAAAACAACATAAAGAATATGAGCAACATGTTTTGACGAAAATTGCAACAATGGAGACACAAATGAGGGAGATTAAAGGTTGCATAGTTAAAATATTTTGGAGAAGATAGCTAGCTATTTGAGACTGACATGAGTCGATTTCTTTATCAGGGGCACTTGCTTGTTGACCATAGCTTTGTTTTTGCCCTTTCCTCATCTTACTTACATTTAGTCTGTTGGTCCACGACTTCCTGCCCACTCGTCGTTTTTTTAGGGTATTTGCTTTTCTCCACTTTGAGTACTTGCACCTTGAGTACTTGCTATTTGACCATAGCTTTCCCTTCCCCTTTTCCAAGCTTATTCTGTTGGTCCCCGGCTTCCTGTCCCACTCGTCGTTTTTTAGCTCATGCCCCCCTCCTCCCTACTTTACCTTTTTTATAAATTTTTATTTTATTAACTCCAGATAGAATAGAAGCTGAAAATATAAGACAAAAAGAAGAAGAATATGGCACAGAAAGAAGACGTTCTCGTTTTGATCAACAACAACCTAATAAAATCCCTTCATTATTCGAATCTACCAATTCACCATCTAAAAAACCATTGGGAATACCTTTGCCAAAAGGAGGGCCTCCTCCTTCAATGCCTGCTGGATCAAACTTTCCACCTCCTCGTTCACAACCTCCACCCCCTCCTCAACCTCCAGCTTTGGATTTGACACCAAAAGTGCCATACTATGAATTGCCTGCTGGAATGATTGTTCCACTCGTTAAAATGGAGGATGTTACGGTTTCTTAAATTTTAACCTCCTTTCTTTAAAGATTTTACTTTTTCAGTATAACCCGCTAAAAGAGAAGGATTTGCGTCTTCCTCACCCCGACCCTCCCAGCGATAGTTTACTTCGAGAAATTGACCGTTTCTACAGCGCCCTGCAATTTCCTCCTCCTATTGATTGTATTAGAGATAAGTAAGGGATTTTTAAATAATTTTAAGGTTTTTTAATTTTTTTTAAATTTTTAGTGAGGGTTGGGAGATGAATGGACTTGTTGAACATTATGTAAAGAAGGAGGATCATAAAAAGAAGCTTGAGCTTAAAATGAAGGAAGAGGGAAAGACTTTGGAAGATGCTTTTACCAATAAATACATTCCGCCTAAGACGCCCCCGAAATCCTCGAAATCTCCGCCAAGACATGAAAAAAATAATGGAAGGTAATTTTTAGATTTTTGGAAATCTTATTTGGAAAAATATCAAACATCGGACAAAATGCCAATGAGTCAAAATGATAAGAAAAGTTTAATAAATTTAATTTTGGCTCTAAACTCAGATTTTTGGCAGGTTTTTTTTTCCAACACCAGACGAAAGACCGACGCTTATGAATTGTTTCGAGATTTTTTTCCTTCCTTACCATTTTGAATCTTTGGCATTTTGTCTGTTTCTTTACGGCATTCTCAATGTTTATCTTTTAGCAGACCTAATAGAAGTCGAAGGAGAACTCGTTCTAGAAGCCGAAGTTCGTCTTCATCATCAAGCAGTAGCAGTAGAAGTTCATCTTCAAGTTCAAGCAGTAGCCGTAGCCCTTCTCCTAGAAGAAGAAGAAAATCGAGAAGGTTGGTCAAACATTTGTTGTTCTAATTATTCTTTTAAATTTAGTGCAAGTCCTGTCATAAAAAGAATTAAGCGTTCTCGCAGTCCAACACCAGATGAAAGACCAACGTTTGCCGTGCCAGTTGGACCGTAAATATGATTTTGATTATTTAAACTATTTTTGTGTTTTTAGAGCCCCACGTACTTCAATTTCCTTCAAAATCCCTCCTCAACCTATAAATCGTGAAACAAATAAAGGGGCCCAATTAATGGCAAAAATGGGATGGGAAGGTAAAGGACTTGGGACTAAAGAACAGGTTTTTTTAAATTCGAGTTTTTGAAAGACAAAAAAAATTTTTTAAAGGGAATTGAGGAGCCAGTAAGTGGAGGAGAAGTAAGAGAAAAAACGGAGCAATTTAGAGGGCTTGGATCAAAACCTGACATTTATGAGCAATATCGAAAACAAATGAGTACACAAATGGCAAGAAGGATACACAAATTGAATTAGGAGAATAAATAGCAAATAATAAAATGGCGTTAAGTTGTTTTGTCTTTAAAAAGCTTGAAAATTAGGTTGAGGTTTTTTTAGTTTTGTTAGAGGAGAAATTTTTTTGAAAGAGGAAAGGAATTTAATTAAAGAGGGGGTTTTTTAGACTATGATTTTGGAAGAAGAGGGAGTTCGCCCAAAAGATCCACTTTATCTGATAGATTTTCTAAAGAAAATTTTTATTCACAATTTCCTCTCAAAAAATAGCAAAGTTTCAGCAAACGGTTTGTGACAAAAGCCGTGTCGGATTTTTAAAATCTTTTTCGGATCGGTTTTCGCGTAGAAAATATTGGTATTATAATCCTTACCTTTCCAATCCAACGATTTTTCCTGTAACTTTTGTTTTAGTTTTCAAGCTTTTCTGTTTAATAAATAAACAATTATTTTTTTATTTTAACATATTTTCCCTAATTTTATTTGGTTTATTTTTTTTAATTTTTCACTAAAGTTAAATATGTACTTAAAAATATTTTATTTAATAATGTTTTTATTCATATTTTTATCTTTTTTATTGTTTAATTAAATTTTTTATTTTTAAATTTAGGTATGAATTTATTTTTCAAAATTTTATTTTTGTCAAGATTGGTGTTTACTTGTTTGGCTGCTGTTGGTGGAGATGATGATAGATTGAATTTGTCAGCAATTTTACCTTTTGTTCCAAATTGGTTTGAAGAGCAAGGGAATATAGGATGGGGCATGAATTGGGATTTGTACGTTATTTTAAATTTTTTTTATAAAAAATTATAAAGAAAATAGGACATGAGGTTGCTGTGAGCACACTTGAAATTTTGGGGTTTAATGAACTGCTTTCTGTTTCACATTGTTTTCTCAAGGTAGGTTCAAATGCTGGGTTTTAAGGTTATTTAAAGTTGGGGAGTTCTTGAGCTCTTGATTGTGCAAGAGCTCAACCGCTCCAAAAGTCGAAATATTGAAACCCTGTAACTTTTCATTTTGTGTGTCAGGGCCAAAAATTGGCAATAGGATATCGACCCTGTTCTACACGATGTTATAAGTTTTATCTAAAAATTTTTTGTTATAGTTCGCGTGGTTCGTTGTAAAAGCCAGCCGTGTAAGAAAGTTGGGGTGGTACCTAAGAGGGATGGGCTGATAGAATCTCTCAAATTTGGAAAATATTGTAATCCTCAATAATTCCGACCTCCATTTTAATGATGATTTTAGAAAATATTTGTCAAATATTTCTAATTTTAACTTTTACTATTTACAGACGTGAACCAAAATCTGATGCAGACAAGCCAAGGGCTGTAAGGAATATCTTTTTCATTAGGCATGGAATATATTTTAGAAAGAATAGAACTGTCGATGAACAAAAGCTTACTCCTCTTGGTAAAAATTTTGTTGAAAACATGTCAATTCTGAAAATTTTTATAGGACGTGAACAGGCCGAATTTCTTGGAAAACGATTGGCTGAGGTTAAGAACGAGTACAAATTTGAAAAATGCGTGTTCTCTACAATGCTTAGGTTTTTTTTTTTGAAATTTAATTTTCGATTCATTCGCGGCAGACTTAAATTTGCGGAGCGATTTGAAATTGCTTTTGTTTATTCAAATTGCATGACAAAGCATTGAACTTCCACAAGGGCGTAGCCAGGGTGTGTTTACTTTGCGTTACGAACGCAATTTTTTTGTAAATATATTTTAATTTTTTCATTTTCCCCATTTCAGGGGGGCTATAGCCCTAGAAGCCCCCCCCCCTCTGGCTACGTCCCTGAACTTCCAAACACCCAACATATTGTCCCAACAACCGGGGATTTTTTTCCTAGTTAATTTTTGTTTTCTCCTCTGTTCTTTTGTGGGGTTAGCTTTTCAATTCAAATAATTTAAAATTTAATTCGGAGTGTTTCGTTGTCTGACATTTCAACGTCTTTTGGGGGTTTTGTATTTCGAGACGCTCCGAATTTAAATTAAACTTTTAAATTGTCTGCTAAACTGGTTTTTTCTCTCGCTGTTTTTTTGTTACAACTTTTTTTTTGCGCGCATTCTCGCTAGTTTAAACTGTCTCGAAATTTCAGTCGCATTAATTCTCAATTAAAATTTTTACAAATTAAAAAAAAATTTTTCTTGCAGAGCAAGACAAACTGGTGAAATAATAATTAAGCAAATGCCTCATTTAAAATTTAATTGCAAATTGGATTCAATTTTGGAAGAGGGGTCGCCATACCCTGCAGAACCGTTTAAATCTCATTGGAGACCAATAGAACCATCAGTATATTTTTTTAAAGTTTTTTCAAAAATTAATTTGTTTTTTAGGTGTATCACTCAGAAGGAGCTCGTATGGAAGCCGCTTTTCGAAAATATATTCATCGTGCTGACCCTTCGCAGAAAGAAGCTAGTTATGAACTTATTGTTTGTCATGCCAATCTGATTCGTTATTTTGTTTGTAGGTATGTGACTAATTTACACATTAAGATACCTTAAGACTAGGATGTGACCTTCTGGATTGGGGGCGATTTTTGAGGAATGGCGAATTTGTTTTGCGGACTGAGGGGTCAGGGAACTGATGGTCTGTTGGCTTCTCCGTCTTTATTTTTTTAAGAGCGACGGTCGTGTCTACTTGAAATTAGAGCCCGTTTTGATTTTGTTTTTTCGATTCAATTTTTACACATTAAGATACCTTAAAACTAGGATGTGTTTTTTCAGTTAGGGCGATTTAATGAGGAAGGGGAAATTAGTTTTGCGGACTGAGGGGCAGATTGTTGATCTCTTGGTCTCTCCGTTTTCCCCTATTCCAAGGACGCGGTCAGGTTCTACTTCAACTAGAGCCCGGCTTGATTCGGGTTTGTCGACTGGGGTTCACAAACGAAATCGGGAATTCGTTTTGTAGACTGGGGTTACAGATTGTTGGTTGGTTGTTAGGTCTGTTGTTCTCTGTTTTTCCCTTTTCCAAGAACGGTGATTGAGTCCTATTTCAAATTACTGCCCGGCTTGATCTGGGTTTTTCGATTCGATTTTAATCAAAAATGACATTTACATCATTTCTAGCGTAAAATTTTTCGATTTAATTTTCTCTTTTTTCAGGGCTCTTCAATATCCACCTGAAGGTTGGGTGCGTTTTAATGTGGCACATACCTCAATAACTTGGATATTAATTCTACCAAGTGGTCAAGTAGCTATCAACACAGTTGGAGATGCTGGACATTTGCCTCCCGATAAACTTACTTTTCACAATGTTTAAAGTTTTTTTGTGAATTATTTGAATTTATGAATAGGAACGGGTGAATTAAATTTATTTTTGGTTTTTTGTGATCTCCCATTAATTTTTTTTTGATTTCTACGGGTTGCCTTATTTGGTGTGCGGACATATCGGGATTGGGGCGACAAAAATAATTTCTTGCGTGTTTACGTTTGTTCTAAAACACAAAAACTATTCCTCAGTAGGACAATATACTATCCAAGACCCAGTGACCGTATGTCCCGAAATCAGTAGGCTAACTGTTCGTACATTGAAATATCCCGATATATCCGTCCCGATATGTCCGCGTGCCTTTTATTTTATTGTGCTTTAATAAAAATTTTTTTTTATTTTTAATTTTTTTTTATTTTAATCATGTTTTTATTCATATTTTACCTTTTTATTTGTTGTCTAAATTTTTTAAATTTTATTTTAGGGATGTATTTATTTTTTAGAATTCTGATTTTGTTAAGATTGGCTTTTACTTGTTTGGGTGCTGTTGGTGGAGGAGGTGGTGGACCGCATCCGTTAAAATTCCCTTTTGGTCCAACTCATGTTAACTGGTTTGAAGCGAGAGGGAAGATGAAATGGGACGTTAATTGGGATTTGTAGGTTAATTATATTTTTATTAGAGTCAAACTCGGTATGATATCTTGATGCATTTACTTTGAGATACTTGGGATTTCTGGGGCATAGGTTTTTTTGAAGAGGGGAATGAGGACTTCTAGTTGATTTAATTAAAAACTAGGATAGAGGATCTAACAGGGATGGGCCGGGGTTTCAAAATTTTCCTAGGATTTGGTTTTAGGTCGAGAAAAGAGTCCGGGTTTCGGGTAACCCATCCCTGGTATGTAACTCAGGTTCGGCGTCGTTCTAGGTCGGATTAAATTTATTGCTGACATTAATTTTCCGGGTTGTCTTGATTTAATATTTCATTTTAGCCGTGATCCACGTTCAATTGTAGAACACGAAAATGAATTGTCTGGGATGACTCCTCAACAGCTCAAAGATTTAATTGCGAATAATACACCAAAAGCTACAAGGAATATTTTTCTTATAAGGCATGGTCAATATAAGAAGGAGAAGGCTGAAGAAAAAAAGAAGCTTACTCCACTTGGTATTTAATTGAAAAGATTTTTTAATTTCAAAAATTTTACAGGGCGTGAACAAGCAGAATTTCTTGGGAAAAGGTTAACAATGGCAAAAAATCAATTAAAAATTGACAAGTGCGTGTTTTCTACATTGATTAGGTTTGTGTTTAAAATTAATTTTCTAAACTTGTCCCCTTTGTGATTGTTTTCTGACACAATTAAAGCTTATTTTGGTATTGAACTCACTTGAGAGGATCCCCAGGACCCTTCAACTTTCCTTGTAGCTTGAAGGGGCCTGGGTAAAGTGAATGCCGAAGTTTTGGCACACACCCTATTTTAGTCTTCCTGAGATTTGATTGAATACCAGTGATGTCACAGACATTTTTTCGGCCCGAAACCTTACCTTTTTCTCACCCTGTGACATCCATATTGGATACTCCATCACCGTCTTATCAAAAAATCTCTAATTTAAAATACATTTTTAGAGCAAGAGAGACAGGTGAAATTATGGCGAAGCAAATGCCTCATTTAAAAATTGGATGCACCTTGGATTCGATGTTGGAAGAGGGAGCTCCTTATCCTGGAAATCCTTCTTTTGGTTGGAATCCAGGCTTTTTTGTATATTTTTTTTATTTTAAAAAATTAAAATTTACATTTTTTTCTTAGCAACTTCACACTGACGGGGCAAGAATTGAAGCTGCATTCCGTAAATATTTTCATCGTGCAAAGCTGTCGCAGAAAGAAGATAGTTTTGAGCTTATTGTGTGTCATGCTAATGTGATTCGTTATTTTGTTTGCAGGTATGTGACTAATAATTAAGAGAGGTTTTTTTAAAGAATAACCTAGACTTTATTGACGGAAACTCAATAATTTCTCTAGCATTTTTTTGATTTTTCTTGGCAATGAATTAGTAATTTTAGAGTAGCAAGGCTAAAATGTTGATTTTCCCCTTCTGATTTTTTTCTGATTCTTCCCTGGTTTTATTTATTTTCATTTTCCTGGGTTCGGAAATGGTCAACTTATTCCCGGCTTGTTTTATGTATGGCCCGCGCAGTTTCTTGCAGCTTGTGAGGAGGTTTCTCGCAGCTTTACCTAATGCCGATTTTTGGCTTTTTTTTACTTGGGGCTAAAATCGACAACTAATGTTAGAAGTTTTAGGAACGTTTGAGTCTACTTTCCCTATAGATTTCCTCTCCATTCTAATAATTAAAATTTTTATATTTTTAAAGAATCCTTCAATACCCTCCCGAGCGATGGATCGTTTTCAATTTGGCTCATACTTCAATAACTTGGATAGAAATTAAACCAGATGGCCATATATTTATCAAAACTGTTGGAGATTTTGGACATTTGCCTTCAGGAAAAATTTCTTTTAATAATGTTTAAATTTTTTTTCTTTCTAAAAATTATAAGAAAAGAACGGGTGACAAAATATTTATTTTTTTGTTGATTCTAGATCTCCTAAAATTTTATTATTATTCTAGATCTCTCTTTTTTGATTTTACGGGTTAATTATTTTTGTGAAAATGTGTTATTTTTGCGGTACTTTTCGTTATTCCTATAGATTTTTTGCTGACAAATTTTTTGAAAGCAAATTTTTTTCGGCATGGGCCTAGGTTTTTCCTGTACCCAGAGTCCAGGCCCAGGTATTTTTTAACCTTCCTGGGTTTTTCTTGGACTAAAGGCGCAGGATCCGGCCCAGGCCAATAAATCAAACCCGAACCAAGGAACAGGCCCAGGCTTTTCAAAAATTCCGATCTTAGTGTACCATTTCAGTTTGCAATAGGTCCATTATTTTTTATGAATTTTTTATGAGAATGGAGTAGTTGATGAGATCTAGCTTGCTTGGAGGAAATATTGGGCATGGAACTTTTTTTTTCATTTAAATATAGCCCTTTTTAAAAAATATATTTTTCCGCAACAAGCCTGTAGGAATAAACGAGAAGTACATACAATTTTTGCTTCAATAAAATTTATTTTTGATTTTTTTGTTTTTTCATGTTGGTTGGTCTTTTTCCTTGTTTATTTCTTTTTAAATTTTATTTTTTTCAGCTTAATTTTTTTAATATTTTTTTGATGAATAAGTTTATTCAATTTCTTAAACAACAAAAATTGGTTTTTTTGGGTGCTGCAGGTGTTTATGGTGGAGGTTGTTTGTATTTGTCAACTTTACCAATTGTTCCAAGCTCTGAAGAGAAGAAGATTAGATATGGGTCTGTTGAAAAAGAAGCAATAAATGTAGGAAAACCACAAAATGGTATTTGGACTGTTAGTGTATATGAAGAGGGTGTGGTAAAGAAATGGGACAGCAATTGGGACTTGTAAGTTGATGTTTGAAGTTAAAAAGGCCAAAATAAATGAACAGGTTTTTTATAAAATTATGATACTAGGGCTAGTTGGAAATTCCTATTTGTGTTCTAATGACTCAATATGACGTTGGGTTGGTGCCTGTTTATGTTTGAGATCGAGCTGGTCCAAGGCCAGAGTTTTCCCTGTATTCTGAGTCCATTTCCTGGCATTTTTTAAAACCTTCCTGGGTTTTTCCTGGACTACAGGCCTGGGAAGCAGTCCAGGTCACTTCAGAATCTAGGAACAAGTCCAGGCTTTTCAAAAATCTCGATCTCTACTGTTTATGTTTGAAGTCCTCGATCATTTGGAGAGTATTTTATTATTATTTTTTGTTTCAGTCGTGATCCTTTGTCAATTGTAAATCACAAATGTGAAAGAAAGGAAATGACTGAACAACAAAAGGAGGAATTACTTGCTAAATGCACGCCGAAGGCTGTGAGGAATATTTTTTTAGTAAGGCATGGACAATATTTTGATCAGGAGGATGAAAAGGATGCGAGGAAGCTTACTCCTTTAGGTATTAATTTAATGAAATTTTTTGATCTTCGTATAGATTTGTTAAAGTCTGGTCGGTTTCGAAAGATCTTCGGAACCTTTTTTTTGAAAGATCTTGGTTTTGGGTAATCCGACCGTCCCTCGTTGGAGCTTTTTGGATTTTTTTTGTTGGAGGGCAGGGGAATTCTTTTTGAATTTTTTTCCTTTTTCCTGACTTCAGGGTCTCATGTCACCGATTTTTAATTTTTTTTTCTATTTTTACAGGTCGTGAACAAGCTGAACTTCTTGGAAAGCGTTTGACTGAAGCTAAAAATAAATTTAAATATGACAAATGTGTTTTTTCTACTTTGATAAGGTTTTCTTTTAAAAAATTAATTTTCTAAAAATTTTTAACTAGAGCAAAAGAAACGGGTGAATTAATGAAGAAGAATATGCCCCATTTAGAAATTGAGTGTTCGTTGGATTCCATGTTGGAAGAGGGAGCGCCATATCCTCCAGAGCCGCCAATTTCTCATTGGAAACCAAAATCTGCAGTATTTTTTGAAATTTAATTTTTTTAATTTAATCGTTTTCTTCAAGCAGTTCCATACTGACGGGGCAAGAATTGAAGCGGCATTCCGTAAATACTTTCATCGTGCAAAGCCGTCGCAGAAAGAAGATAGTCATGAACTTATTGTGTGTCATGCAAATGTGATTCGTTATTTTGTTTGCAGGTATGACTAATAGAGAGGGGGTTCGGGAAGGAAGCTTAATATAGTGTCTGGGGATTTCTTCTACCCATTTGTAAGTGAATATTTATGAGAGGAAATAATTGGAAAATTGATGACTCATCGTTTGTGGGATGATTCACTTTTTTTTCGACTAACAATAAGTTGATGGGTGATTAATCGATTCCGCTGACATTTAGTAAAGCCCCAAACTTTTTTTTGTTGGTAAACCCTTTTGGTTTTTCAGCCCTCAAGTCAAGCTTAAACCCCTAAGAACGGTCTAGTTAATGGGATCAAATTTCATTGGTTCCCAAGAGCTTTTTAAATGTTAAAGATAGGTATGAGACTGGGAGTGTTGTACGAAAAATTGAGGTTGATATAGACGATATTTTATCTTGATAACTGTGATTTTTGTTCGAGCTCTCGTCTCGGTCTAAAATTGATTTTTCTGGTTTCAGCTGAAAAATCCCTTTTTTCCTCCAAAATTAAAAAAAATTTATTTTTAAACAGAGCACTTCAATTCCCTCCAGAAGGATGGTTGCGTATTACTTTGGCCAATAGCTCAATAACTTGGTTGCAAATTATGCCAAATGGTCGTGTAATTCTTCGAGCAATGGGCGATTTTGGTCATTTGCCTCCAGAAAAAATCTCGTTTTCTTAAATTTCTTGTTAAATAATTCTAAATAATTACAAGCGGTGAAAAATTATCATATTTGTTGTTGTTGATTTTAGATCTCCAACGGACTTTGGGGTTATAAATTGTTAGTGAGACATCGTGACGGACATAACGAGATACTCTAGAATATATTGGAACAGCTACTATACGGGTATTGGGACTTACGGCCTTTTAGAACCAATTTATGAATTTATTTTTGTCTCCAAAATCCCCCGATATGTTTCATAGGGCGATCCAGTTTTCTTCAGAATTTCTTCCACTCCAATTTCTTCCTGATATGTCCGTCCCTCGATATGTCTGGCTCCCTTTAAATTAATTTTATTTTTTGTTTTTTGCTTTAATAAAAATTTGTTTTTAATTTTCTGTTTATTAATTTGTTTATTTCATTTAAAATATCTTTTTTTGTTTAATTTGTTTTCATAAAATTGTTTTTAGCGCTAGAATATGCGTGAGTACAAAATTGTTGTCTTAGGAAGTGGCGGTGTTGGCAAGTCTGCATTAACTGTTCAGTTTGTTCAGGTTTGTATAAATATATTGGGTCGAAATGGTTTTGGGTCGAAATGAGTAATTGTGGGTGACATCACTATTGTCAATGATAATGTTAAATATTTTTGAGCCAATATTTGGGGCTATTTTTGGGATTGCCGGTTTAGGACCGGGCCGACTTTCGAGATTTTTTCGGGGACCGTTCGAGTCTTTTTCGTGCCACAATTCGATCCCGGTCAATCTCTCGAACCGGGCCGGCAACCCTACCTATTTGAGTTGGACATTTTGCTTCTTATTTGGCCATGGTATTTCACTTAACCCCTACTTGATTGGAAACCCTCGTGTTATGATTTGTATTTTGGTTTTCGGAAGCCATACTTTGATTATCGATTTTATAGTGAGTCATGAGAATTCCTTGGCGTCTCAAAAAAAACTAATTCAATTCTAATTTAATTAAAAAAATTTTATTTTTCAGGGCATATTTGTTGAAAAATATGATCCTACAATTGAAGATAGCTACCGAAAACAGGTTTATTATAAAACACTTAAAAAATTTATTTAAAATTTGATTTTTACCTTAAAAAAGGTGGAAGTAGACAACCAACAATGTATGTTGGAAATATTGGACACTGCTGGAACTGAACAGTTTACAGCCATGCGGGACCTTTATATGAAGAATGGACAGGTTCTTTAACTGAAAAAGGATTTTTAAGTTGTGTGGTTTTTAGGGTTTTGTGCTCGTTTATTCAATAACTGCTCAATCAACATTTAATGACTTGATGGACCTTCGTGATCAAATTCTTCGAGTGAAGGATACAAACGATGTAAATTTATTTTTAATTTTTTAAAGTTTTACACTCTTTGAGATAAGGGAACTCTGGAAATAAGGGTTCATCACAAAAATTAGAATACTTAAAAAAACAGCATTCCCAAAGACTAAACGGCCATAACATAAAAGGCCGGTTAAAGTCATTTTTTTCAACAAAACGGATATCACTAGAGGACCCCTAATAGGAAGTTGGGGGTCCTCTATTAAATTTTGCCAAAAAATATCGAATTTTATCATTGACAATAAAATTTTTCTTTTGCTAGGAGGAACTTCTTCCTTTCCCTCTATTCTTTTTTCTTGGCTATTCAAAAATGGATTTATTTGCCAAAAATTTTATTTTCAAAAAATAATTTTCAACTTTTTTTTAAAGGTTCCAATGATACTTGTTGGCAATAAATGCGATTTGGAGGATGAACGAGTAGTTGGGAAGGAACAAGGCATAAATCTTGCTAGACAATTTAACAGCGCTTTCACTGAGGTTTCTAAAAAATTTTTCAAAAAATTTTCAAAAAAAATTTTTTAGACTTCCGCCAAACAAAAAATCAACGTCCACGAAGTTTTTTATGATTTGGTTCAACAAATCAATCGACGCTATCCAGATTCTGGTCGCCGTCCAAGCAGCAAAAAGTGTTGGAAATGCTCTGTTCTTTGAGGAAAACTTGGGGGGGAAGGTTGTTTTTGGTTGGCATTTTTTTGAGTTTTTTTTAATTTTTAAAAATTAAGCCAAGCTTATTTTTGCCGTAAATTGACTTTCTAGTTAAAAAAAAATATTTTTTTTAATTACCTTAAGTATAATGACTCTAATTTAAAATTAAGTAAGAATTTTTTTAATTTTTTGGTGACCAGCAATTTATTTTTTTTATTGACAATTTTGAATTTTTTTTGATTAATTTTGTATATTTTATAATATGTATTTTTTTGAAATTTAAAGGGGTGCAATCAATGAAAATCAGAAAAAGATTATTGAGACAATGAACAAATTTTCCAGAAAACCAAAGTGTTTCATGGTTCCTATTTTTTCTGATCGGTTTAGGGATAGAAACCGTTCCTAGTTAACGGAAGACAGTGAGGAGAAGAAAAAAGTGGACGTTATAACTAGAGTTGCCGGCCCGGTTCGGTTCGAAAGATCGGATCGGGCTTTGATTTTTGGCCCGAAAAAGACTCGAACGTCGGCCCGGTTTGAAAACGGCAACCATAGTTCTAACGCCTAGACCTTAAAAATTTTTTTTGAATTTTAATGTCTCATTTAATTTTGAAATAAAGAAAAAATGATTGCACTCCTTTAAATTAACGAGATTATAATTTCTAAATTTCTGTCTAAAATTACCAGAAATTTAAAATTTCGTTTATTTTTGTGCCCCTTATTTTGCCGAATCAGGGACGAGAATCATCAATTTCTGTCATTCTATTAAAAAAAATTTCTTGTCCATTTTTTAAAATTCTTTTTAATTTTTCTTTTGATGATGATTACTCGTCTCTGTACTCGACTGGATGCCTTTTTTAAATTTTTTTTTGTTTGTGTAAAAAAAATCCAAGACGTTTTTTGAATTTTAAGTGAATAAAAATACTTAAATTGAATATTCCAAAAAAAATATTTTTTTAATTAAAATATTTAAAAATGTTGCTCCCTTATTAAAGAAAATTTCCCCCTTTTACATTAATTATTTTTCTGATGATTTCCCACCTCGACTTGACTAAAACCACGAGACCCTGATCCCTTTTTACACTTTCGAGAACAAGTTGAAAATAAAATGAGCATGGCTAAGAAAGACTATAAAAATATAATGGCCAAGGTTATCTATTCATTTCTAAATGAAGCCTTTAAAGGGAAACAGGCTTCTCATATAAGGAAGACCTTAAGTGGAATCATTCCTTTATGTTAAGGGAGCAATATTTTTTAATATAATTCCAAATAATTTTCCTTCCATTTTTTTAACTAAAAACTTAAATATTGAGAGAATAAGAAAAAAAAACATTTCCATTTGCATCAAAAAATGCGTTTATATATTTTTTTAAATTTGTTGTGTTGTTTTTTCTAAATATTATATTATCTATCTATATTATTCGAAAAATTGTACTTTCTTTTTAAGAGACTTCTTTTTAAAGTAATTAAATTTATTTTTGTCTACTCAAGTTGTTTATAAGTCGACCTCGGTTTTACATACACCCTTGAATACTTTTTAATGGGAGGTAGCTTAAATAGAGGGTTGGACACGCCCAAAACGACGCGCGGCCATAATGGCGCAAAGCCATAACTTGCTTCAATATTTAATCCCACAAGATTTAATATCAACCAATTCCTCTTATCGAGCTAAGGAAATTAGTACTAAAATTAACAACATTTTCCAACAAGTTATGGCTTTGCGCCGTTATGGCCGCGCGCCGTTTTGGGCTGTACTCATAGAGGGTATCGCTTAAACAGAGGCTACAGCTTCCCCATCTATAACGGCTAATCAAATTTTTTAAACATTGTTAAAAGCCTAATTTGGGGTGAATTTAAAAGCGAGGTACGACTATATCTTTTCTCTGATATAATTGTAAAAGTAAGCAAATATTTATTTTGAATTAATTCTGTTCTATTTTTCTATTTAAATTTTGGTAAAAATTCTTTCAAGATTAAGCTTATTTTTATCCGATTGATGTGCAGTTTTGGTGTAGTTGGAAACGCCTATGTTTTCGTCAGAGCGATCAGGGTTCGAATCCCACTGCGAGAAATAATTTTTATTTGACTTATTTTCGTTAGTTTTTTAGGTTTTAACAATTTTGTAAGTTTAAAATGATAAGAAAAATAAAAATTTTGATAAGATTTATTGACTAATTATTTAAATAAAAATAGTTTTATTGTTAGATTATCCCGAAAAAATTAATAAAATTTTGTAAAATGGGCATGACTAGTTTTAAATTAAAATTAAGGGTCTGACACAGTAGAATTCTACAGGTTCTGTCACATTTTTAACTGAAATAAAAATTAGAGCTCGAACCCGGTTAGGGACCGGGCTTTTAACGGGTTCGTTGACGGGTATTTGCTAAAATCCGGGTTTTCGGGGGTTTAGCCCGGAAATTTGTTTAAAAGAAAAAAGTCCCTGATATCAGGCCTATTTGAAAGGTTCTCGATTTAATGAAAACCCCCTTTTTTTAACCAATAAAGAAGAAAATTAAAAAATTCCCCAATCACTTTATTTTAATCCTTAATTTGGTGGTGGTGTATTTTCAGCACTACTACACTCTCCCATCACATAATTAAAACATTGGCACTCGATTAGATGATTAACCCCTTCATTAATTAAGTTTTCCAAATGGTGAATGTATGCAATAGCTAGGCGAAGAGTATCAACTTTGCTAAGACGGCGATCACTGAAATTTTTTGAATTAAAGGAAAGACTACAGGAAAAGAGGAGAATTTCTCTGACTTTAGAGATAATTTTTATCCTATAGGGGGACTTCTCCTTTCTACGATCCTCTAATTTTGTTTAAGAATTAAAAGCCTACTTTTCAGTCAGAGGCAAAGTGTTCTTCAACCTCGTATAACCATCATTAACTTGTCTAACTCGAATCCGTTCTCGTTCATTTCGTTTCCAAACGGTTGTTCCGTGTGTGCTAAATTGTTAAAATTAACCTTAATTCCGAAAGGATTGAAAGTGAGGGTTTGTTGAGTTATCTAAACCCCGTTGATTTCTTCAATAAACGATAAAGGTTTCTTTTCTATGCCTCCTTACTCCTATACTTCCTTCCCCTTTTAACAGCTCCCACCTTTTGAATTCCATTCAGTTATGGTGATTAGAGGAGTTGCCCTTCTATACTCCGATCTTTTAAGCTTAGATCAGGAAGGCTGTAGGAGCTCCTACAAACCTTAAATAAAAATCTCTACCTCAATTCATTCAATTCATGCGGCAACGGTATTTTAGCCTCTTCCGAGAAGGGACTAATAAAACGATTTACACCTAACACCTCTTTTGGGCTTTTTACTGGTGTTATCATTTTAGGCATTTTTTGCTGTAATTCTTGTTGTCCATTATCATCCTTTCTTTTCCTTTTAGTCCCTTTTTCTTGGGTAGGTGGAACAACTATTACGCTGCTGCTTCTTTCTGAAAAGAAAGTTACGTTTAAATTTAAACTTCCATGGGGGAGAAGTCCACCTGTTTATGTGAATTTTGACCCTCTTTTAGTTAAATCCCTTCCTTATTCTCCTGTCTTTCCCAGGTTAACTTCCCTCTAATGCTCTCAGGTACCTTAATTACCTAATAGCAGTAATTGGTAAACCTCCCTCTTCAGCTTCGTTAAACCCTGAGGAAGTCCTCCTACTCTTTTTGTTCTCACCCTTTGAAGTTCTTTCCCTCCATAACTTATGACCTCTAAATTCTAGGACTAATTCTCTTCCTCAATTTAAAATCTTCAACTTTACTATAATAATCTACACTGAGTTTACTTTTAAACTCACGAAAAGCAGAAGCATCTAAATTTACATTAGCAAAATTAATGTTTTGTACAGCAGCTACACACAATGCTTGTTGACGTTCTAGAAGCATTTGTTGTTGCTCATTAGTGAGAATATCTATAGTTAAGGGCTGTGATTGGTCGTTTATTGGATTATTATTCATTTTAGCGTAAGTTTCTTAACCTCTAAATGTGTTAAAATAGTTTTCAAAAATAACAAAGAGACAATGGAAAAAGAGGAGATTTTTTCTGACACCAGAGAAATTTTTTGAAATTTTGACCAAAATTTAAATTTAAAATTTTAGCCCAACAGTCTAGGCTTTAAAATTTTTAAAAGATTTTATTGTGCCAGCTACATAAGTGTTCTTAAGGGATCTTCACAAAAACACGAAAAGACAACGGAAAAAGAAGAGATTTTCTCTGACGTTAGAGAAAAATTTTTATTATTCTTGCTAAATTTTAGAGTTAAATTTTAAACCCAAAGGTTTAGGCTTTAAAATCATTAAACGATTTTTATTATGACTATTACCTGACTGTCTTTAGAGGATAAAAATAAAAATATTTTGCCTTCCCCCAACTGACTGTATTTAGTAGGCTTACTTTTGTCTTTTACCGCATTTAGCTTTAAACAACCGCCCGCCTCTCGTCAATCAAACAGAGAGGAGTGAATGTGTTTTTCCAATTGTGGATGGATATTCTTCTCTATATCAAAGCTTTGATTTTTTAGAAAAAAATTTTTTTCCAATTTTTTCTCTCCCAAAATTAGTCAACAATAAATACACACCTTCACAAGCCTTTTACCGACTACCGACTTTTTTAGAGATAAAATTTTGTAAAAATTTGTACAGCTGTCAGGCAATATATAAAAATTAATTTAATAATTATATTTAATTTTTGGGTGAGTAGAGGAATAAAATAATAATTAATTATTTAGTGCGAAAATACAGTGGGAAAAGAAGAGATTTTCTCTGATGCTAGAGAAAAGGGTTCTGAGGAGCTCTAAAAGTGAGAAAAAATTTAATTAAAAATTCTTTTACATAATATATAATTTTCAATTTTTATTTAAAATCACCGGACATACAAAAAAATTATTTGGAAAATGCATTAAGAATATTAAAGTCGAATCTCATTATAAAATATACACCCTTGGGGCGTAAAATTACCTCATAATGGGGGTACCCTAAATTGTGGGCATTGCTAGAGAAATTGGGAGTATCTCTTAATTTTGGGTTTATCTAGAATTGAGATTCGGCTGTATAAGAATTTAGGGAAAATCCAATTAGACTTAATAAGTTCGTTTTGTAAACTTACCCGGTTGAAGTCGAGTTTTGGTTAATTAAAGGTGTACTTGGGCGCTAACTTATAAAAAATTATTTTTTAAATTATAAAACCTTGCCCAGATATCTGCTAAAATCGTTGACTGTTTCCTTAAAAAATTTCAGAATTTCTGGTTTTGTATTTCTAAAGTTACGGTCAAAAATGTTAACATTTTCTTTAAAAATTCTGATTTTTGGGAATTTTTTGACCAGAACTTCTGAAATATTTTATCAAAAATTCTGAAAATTTCAGAGATGATGGAGAACACTATCATAGATATCTCGGCAAAATTTCATGATTTTATATCATGTATAAGTTGTATTTTTATAAGTTCACGCCCAAGCGTTTCCTGCGCCCAAACATTACTTTAAATTTTTTTTTGAAAAATTCTGGATTTTTTTGAAATTTTTTAAAATTTTTTATTTTCGTTGATAAGCATCCTATCATCTTTTCCATGGTCTCCTTTGAGTTAATTTTTTAGAATTTCCACCATTTTTCCCAAATCCAAAATCGCTGTGTGCTCTAGGCCTTTCAACAGTTGCCCAATCCTCCTCATTATTTTCTTCAAAATTTCCAACTTGTTGGGATCCAAAATGCAATATTTCCTCTAATTCATTTACAAAAGAAGGGGAAGAAGAAGAATTTGTGGTTGTTGTTGTTGAGGAAGTTGGGGAAGAATTTTTTGGAATTTTTGAGGAGGAAGTGGACAAGAAGGAAATTGGGGGAGATAAAGTGTTTTGTTGTTGTTGTTGATTTATTTCAAGTAAATTTTCTGTTAAATTTTTGTTTTGATTATTTTCTGGTGTTGGAAATACACTGAAAATTTGAAAGAAATTAAATTTTAAAATTAAAAAAATTCTTTGGTGTTAGAGAAAACTCTCTTCATTCCTTATTGTCTCTCGACTTATGAGAGAAAATTAGGTACTGTACTTCCTTACATAACCCAGTCAATCTACGACATATCCTAATAGTATTTCTGATATTTTCTAAGATATTTTTGAGGTGGGATAAAATAGAGATTATATTCTCCCTTCCAAATGTCAATCCGTGTCATCTCAGTATACCTCCTATCACTAATAAATATCCTATACTACAATATTTCAAGCTCCAGGTTATCACACTGCAATGAACCGTTTATTTAGGCGGAATAGGATAGTCTGTCTTATCGCAGTCTTAACACGGTCTATGACTTATCACAAAAGATTTAAGAGTGTGATTGATGCTGGTATAATCTTATGTGGGATAGGTTAGAAATTAAGGTGGCTGAGGTTGTAGCAGGGATAACATTTATAGACGGGATAAAATAGAGATTGATATAGACCTTCTATTTGCCAGGGATAAGACAGATTTCAAATTTTATTTTCCATACCTAGTAGTAGTACTAGTAGTAATATTATTATTATTCTCCTCCCCTTCACCACTTCCCCCACCAACATCACTAACGGCAACAGTACTTGGAGTTGTTTGACAATAAATATTGTTACTATTCCCTTCATTTTCTTCACTATTATTTCTACTATTTGTATTATTATTTGAAATTCCAAGAATTAAATCATTGCCAGAACTGTTGAGTCGAAGTCTGGACATTGACTGGTCTGGGGGAACAGCTCCACGTGTATATATGTTGGCTAGGGCTGCTCGTAACTATTTTGTGGAATAAATAATTTTTCGAATTTTTTAAAGAATATTTTTGATAAATTAATTGATATGATTTTACGAGTAATTGATATTTAATTAATTGAAAATAATTATTTTTTGATTTTTATTTGTGCAGGAAACCCCGTTATTGTGCTGGAAAGGGCGTTTAAGGGGCATTAAACTACGTTTAGTTGAAGAATTATAAAATGACAAAAAATTAACCTAGAGCAATGAAATTTTGTATAGACGTATCTAATATCGTTATCTACCTCCACTAAAAATTTCAGAATTTTTGGTTGAGTATTTCAAAAGTTAAGGTAAAAAAACTACCAAAAATCAACATTTTTCTCGAAAATTCTGAAATTTTTGACCAGAACTTCTGAAATACGAAACCAAAAATTCTGAAGTTTTTAACTGGATTAGTTAACACTATTACGCATATCTATGCAAAATTTTACCTTTCTAACACTTAATTTGGGTATTTTATAAGTCAAGAATCTAATGACCCTTTACCTCCTAACGTTCAAATTTAAGCAGATTTTTACCTCTCTGAGTGCCACAACTCCCACTAGACGTCCTCTATGTGTAACATAAGCTAAAAAAGTACTTTCTTGATTAAAAAATTCCTTTAATCCCACCATGATTTAAGCCTAAGAGAGAAAATAGCGTGTGAACTTTGTAGAGACTTGTTCCAATAACTAATTGAAAAGGGGCTGCATCGATAGCCAATTCATCATCCAGGTCAATAGGTTGTCGAAGTAATGCAGAACGATTACGAGAAGAACGAACGCCGTCCAATTTCTGTTTTTGTTGGAAATTTTTTAAATAAAAACCTCTATACTATATACAGTCAACTCTCTCTATATGGTAAACTCCCTATAATGTAAACTCTCTTTATAAGAATACCACTGAGTATATTGTCTGCCAAAAAGTATTTTTAACAGCAACCCTCTAACCTAGATATACAGGTTTTACTTCAATGGAAAATTTCCATGTTCCGTTCACACTACCTATAGTCCGAAGGGTACATAAAATTTATGGGCATGTGGCATTAAGTTTAAAATATCTGCTATAGGCGTCGATATTGTGGAGCCAATAGTTATGTATTATATACTAGAGAACTGATTTATTTTATTCCTACTTACAGAAGATAACGGCATTTGGTGAAATCCTTGTTGCCTTAATAATAATGGAGCTAGAACATTTCTTTCTGAAATAGAAATTTTTTAGAAAAATTTGACTAAAAATCAGAACTTGATCCTCTATCTTCATGCAGAGGACTGATTGAAAGAAGTGTATTTCCTATATAAAAATAAATTTTAGGAAAGATACTTGATTTTAAGTGAATTTAATTTGAAGTTTTTAGAAAATTTCGTGTTCCGTTCACCCTACTCTATAGTCCGAAGGGAACATAAAATTTTTGTGGATTTTTGGATTATTATTTTAGAATTAAGGAGGAAAGGAGGGTTCCAGCTGGCTAGTGTTTAAACCGCTTTTACTAGGCCTGGAAAGGTTAGAGCATAAATAGTAGCTCTGCTAGTAGAACAGGCTGTACGTGTGTGCAAAAAGCTCGCAATAATAAACTACCAAGGGGTCGCCGGATCGCCGCCTGCCCGGGCTAAACTTTTACTGCCCGAGCTAGACCCTTACTATGTATAACTAAGGGTTACGGTTTTAGAGACAAATTGAAGACGAAATTACCTACCAAATAAATTTCTTTCATTAATAACCGACATTTTTGGCGGCATTGCCCCAGGCAATAAACGCATAGATTCGACATTCCTTCTACTTATACTGTCCAATCTTTTATTATTTAAATTTATATTTTCTCCAGTATTTTCTGTATTTGTTGCTGTTGTTGGTCTACTTTTCCTTCTACGACTTCTATGTAATAATAAAGAAGGGTCAGGGCCAAGACGGTCAGTCAGTAGAAAATGAAGATATTTACGTGAAACAGAACCGAGAAGAATTTTTTCTTCTGGAATTTTTGAATTTAAATTTTTAATATTTAATTAAATATAGAGTAAAATATGGATATTTTGATTTATGACCATTTTGAAATTTTTAAAAAATAATTTTCTTTTGAATTTGAAGGTGAATTTCGAATGGGTATACTGTAACTACTATAGATATTATACCCTAGCAGGGATAACTGGGAACCAGAGGTCGATCGGAAAGGACGAAGGTGCCGGAAATCGGAACTGTCGGAAATTGGAAATGACTCAAAAGACGGAATTCGGAAATCAGCCTAGATTTTCGGAAATCGGAAGGAAAAAAACGTCGGAAATTGGAATTCCGATCGACCTCTGCTGGGAACATGTGATATCTGAGAATGCAGAGATGAGCAGACCATTGGGATAGATCAGACATCTAAGAGTCTAAAGAGTCTCTGTCTTATCCCACCTCCTTTCATATCCCAAGTCTTTAGTTATTCGAATAATTAAAAGGTTGTTTCATTCACCCTAATCTATAGTCCGAAGGGAACACCTCTCTCACCTTCGTCAGTAACCAAAGGGTAAGATCTCAAATGAGGCGTAGCCAGAAGCAATTCTCTCAATTCTTTGTAGCTAGTTAATTTTGTAATGAAAACGACATCTCGAACCATTATCTTTTTGAAGGAAATTTTTTAAAATTAATTTCCTCTGTACCTGTTCAACTTTAAGTGTGTGTACACTAATACGTGAAGGGGGCAATTCTGCCAAGTGAGGATATTTTCGAATGTTTATTATTGACCTGTGAAATTTTTTAATAATTGGTCAGATAATTAATTTACTCGTAAATAGAAGGCTGTAGAAAAGAGCTGACAGCATTAGCCACCATTAGGGCTACCTGACACAAAATTTTTTAAATAAAATTTTAAAAAATTAAATTACTAAAACAGGCAATAAAGGACTCAGTTGTCCAGTAGTTTCGCAAACAATAACGGCAATAGACAATGAATGGGTAACTGCGCCTGTGTAGGCTGCTGCTCCTTGAATTTGGAAATTTTTGAAAATTCCAAAAATTTTTCCAAAATTCCTACCCACAACAGCATACAAGCCAGGATAAATTTGGGGGCCATCAACACCTCTAATGCCCGCTGGAAACATAACAACCATCTAGTTAAGGAAGAATTAAAAAGTTAGGAAAAAGAGAAATGGAGCCTTATGTTCCTTACCGACTACTCATAGGGTGAAGGGAACATAAAAATATTCTTAACGTTTTTGCAGATAGAAAGAGCCAAGGAAAGATAAATTTTGAAAGGGGTTGAGGATCATGGAATATAACCCAGAAAAAGGTTAGGAGGTGGAATTTATTCTAATAGTAGCCCATTATTTAATGAATATCGCTAACAAGTCAATCTCACCAATTCTCCAATAATTCTGCCCCCACAAGCACCAATCACAAAAGAAGGAACAAAAATCCCTGCTGGAAGGGCCAATGTTATGCAAATTGCAACAAGAAAAAACTTTAAAAATATTTCATAATTACTTCATTTACATACATACATTGACGAACAAATAGCCAATAAGTGCGGGGAATACATTTGGCCTTTAAAATAATTTTTTTTGAAAATTTTCTGAAATTTTTTCAGAAATTTTTTTACACTGGCTAACAAGTTCCGTTCACACTATAGTTATAGTCCGAAGGGAACATGTTCCTTTCACACTACTTATAGTCCGAAGGGAACTTAATATAGTTCGTGGGGAACATTTTAATTCAAGTTTTTTACATAAAAATAGTAGCATCCATCGACCCATCCAAAGCTGTAGATCTATCTGTTGGCCCTTCTCTTTCCCAATTATCTATAGTCCAACGTTGAATGATTTTAGCAGAACAGCCCATAGAACTGCTAACATTATGCAAAGACATTGTACAGTTGGCAATAAAGTCTCCAAGCGTTTCACGGAAAGTAAACTTAAAAAGAAGAGATTTTTTAACTCGAAACCTCGTTTTTATATACACCCGAATCTCCCTTTATTCCACACGAGTCTCCCTTTATTCCACACGGAATAAAGGGAAATCTCCCTTTATTCCACACGGAACATGTTCCGAGGGGAACATGTTCCGTTCACACTAGCGATAGTCCGAAGGGAACACGTTTTTTTAAATTTTGTTGTTCTCTGGGTGAGAGAGGATGCCTAAGCGATACCTCCCTATTTAAGATACCCCCTCATTATAGGTTCAGTCCCTAAGAAGGTATTATAACCAGGGCTGTGCGCCAAAATTTTCGCGTGGCGCGCCAAACGCCAAACGCCAATTTTTTAAATTTTAAAAACACGCCAAACGCCAAAATTTTTAGAGTCTATAAAGACTTAAAAATCACTGTTCATCTCATTTTAGCGCCGCAGGCGAAATTTTTTTAATTTTCAAGATTCCCAGAAGCCAGAATTCATCCTTTTTTTACCGCCGGAGTGAAATTTTTGAGAATTTTGGAGGACTGTACGCAGAAAAATTTCCTTTTTCGATCATCCCTTTCTCCATTTATTTTTAAAAAATTCCATCATTAGGGGTGTATATTTTTGGCGTTTGGCGCGCCAAAATCGGAAAATCACGCCAAACGCAAAACGCCAAAAATCGGCCAAAATTAACGCCAAAACGCAAAACGCCAAACGCCATGACGCACAGCCCTGATTATAACTAAGTTTGGCACATTTTTTGCCTAAAATAAAACATAAAAGAAAATTATTTTTTGGGTGTGCGCCAAAGTTTATTTTTCAACACTCTAAAACGCCAAGTTTTATTTTTGGCGTTTTCCTCCGCTGTAAAAAAAGATTGGCGCACAGTCGAAACTCAGAATTTTCACTAATCTCTTTTAAATTACGGAAACTCGCCTTTCCCGCAAAAAAGTAACCAAAACCATCAGGATAAGTAATAATACCAACAATAATGGCCATAAAAATTGTAAACGAAAGGGAACTATGTTAAAAATATTTTTTAATTTTAAGTTAAAAAATTTACTTTCTCCCAAAAATTGCTTTGAATGTTCTATTTCTTTTTTTAAAGTAGGTAATTCGTCTATGGAGGAGAACAAAAAAGGCACCGAATAATCCACAAATCAAACTTAAAAAATTTTTTTTAATTTTTTATATTTTTTTGAGGATTTTTGAGTATTTTTTGAGGGAATTTTGAAGGAAAAATTTTGAAAAGAGAAGAGAGACTATTTTATAAAGCACTAGATTGATCTATTGTTAGATGCCGACCTTAGGTGATTTAAATTGTTATAACTCTAAACTGGAAAATCCGATAAATTTTGATTTATATATTATTAAATAGGGGAGAAGATTAGCTACTAAACTGATAAAGATAAAAATTTTGGAATGATAAATAAAAGAGTTATGATAGAGGAAAGAACATGAGGTTGAAAATGGTGGAAGACAATGAGTAAGGTTTTGCCTTATAACTCAAGTATAGGTTGATCATTTCGAATAATTTAAAGACCATTTGATAGAGGAGAAAAATTGCTACAAAATAAGCTCAGTAAGAAAAATTTAGGAAAATGACAGAAAAGGGTTAAGGTCAAAAATCTTAATAAATTTGTCAATAATCATGACCTTCGCACGTTTTTTGGCCATAACTTTTTTCTCAATAAATTCAAAATTTTGCTTAAAATATTATTTTGAATTTAACATTAAGCTCTATCAAACGATACCAAAATCAAATTTAAAGCTCGCTTTATTCGAAAGATATAGAAGACAAAAGTCACCAGGCTTCTACAGTACCCCCAAAAATTAATTTAGCTTCATAATTAAAATTTACCCAATAATTACAAAACATATAATTTCTTCAACTAAAAAGACTTCATTAGGAAAGCTAGTTTGATAATAAGCAGTTATTGTGCCTTTAATTTTTAATTTAATTTAAATTTTAATTAAATTTAATTTATTCCTCAATTACCAGCAATATGTGGGGGAATAATTGCAGCATTAGCAAAACGAAAAATCAAAGCACTACAAGTTGTAGCAAAGAAAGCTCGCCAATAATTTTTTACAGCAAAATATTTATGTGTACATTCAATTCCGTACAAAACTGCTGAAAAAGAAATTTTTTTAAATTATTTTTTAATTAAAATTATTTTAGGGGCATTTGTCTTAGAGTGACACATTTGCGTACAGGCTTATAAAAAATCCAAAAGTGAACCTAGATTCATGAAATTTTGCATAGAGGTTTCTAATAGAGTTATCTACCTCCTCTAAAAATTTCAGAATTTTTGGTTAAGTATTTCAGAAGTTCTGGTCAATAAACTAACAAAAATCGACATTTTACTTGAAAATTCTGATATTTTTGACCAGAACTTCTGAAATGGTGAACCAAAAATTCTGAAATTTTTACTCATAGAAGATAGCACTATTCAGGAGGTCCATGCAAAATATCACGATTTTATATGGTTTTTGAACTTTTTTAAAATTAATGTCTAAACCACCCCTAACCTCCAGCAGGAGAACTAAAAGTACAAGCAATTCCAACAGAACAACCAGAAGCCAGAATTTCTATTTCTCTCCCCTCATTTGAGAAAAATGCTGTGCTCTGCCATGCTTTTGTTAATTTACTTAACAAATGGCCTATAATTTTTTTTCCAATTTTTATACGAATTTTTAAAATATTTTTTACCAACAATTGCCCCCATGTGGACGAATGGCCCCTTAAAATAAAAATATATCAAAAGGAAAAATAAACCTAAAATCGCGAAATTTTGTATAGAAGTCTCTAATACTGTTAGCTACCTCTTATGAAAATTTCAGAATTTTTGGTTTTGTTTTACACAAGTTCTGGTCAAAGAACTACCAAAAATCGGCATTTTTATCGAAAATTCTGACATTTTTGACCAGAACTTCTGAAATACGAAACCAAAAATTCTGAAATTTTTAGAAGATGTAGAAGATGCTGTTAAAGACCTCTATGCAAAATTTCAGATTTCTAGGTGGTTAACAGACAATTTTATAATCCTACGCGGAAACGTCATCTAACCCAAAACTTGCCTCTTTTCCAACAGGTAAACCGCTTCCCAACGTTAAAGTCAAGGAAAGCACTTTAGCTACTAATGTCCTCATAGTTAAATAATTGGGAAGAAAAAAGCCATTCATAATTACTTTCACTTCGGGAATGCCAGAACCTTTAAATTTTTTAGAAAATCTCGAAAAAAAATTTTCAATTACCAATAGCTTGAGGAGAAATATATTTACATACTAGAGCTGCTGCTGTAACAAAAAATCCTAGATAACCAACCCATGAAACAAAACCGAGCATTTTATCGTAATCACGGGCAAAGTCAAAGAGAACAGCGCGATCTAGGGGATTTTAAATTCTGATTTTTTTCTAGAAAATTCTGATTATTTCAGAAAATTTCTGATTTTCCAAAAAAATTCTGATTTTTTATTCTGATTTTTTTTCAGAATTATTCTGATTTTTAGAATTTTTTAAATTTAGGTATATTATCAATTTTCAGAAAATCCCTCTCTTACAGTGATTCAAATATTCATAGCTAACATCTACAGATATAGAAAGTGCTGCAGTTATACAACCAAGTAAAGCAGAAATAAACCAATCTTCTACAAAGAAGTGTAGCTTTAATTAAAAAATTTTTGTTCATTAAATAGAGGGATTCCAGTTGTGGGGACACTCGTTATAAGCGACATTTCCCTGATTCATTTGAGTCGCTACTAACGAGAGTTGACTGTCTACAAAATAGAGGGTATTTAAACGAAGGTACACTATATAGAGGTTGTCCATTATATAGAAGGTGTCCGCTATATAGAGGGGTGTCCACTAAAATAGTAAGCTGAAAATCCCCTACCAAATTAACAGCGTGCCTCTTCAACCCCTGCGCCATTGTTTCTTCTGGCCTTTTAAATTCATCAGAAGTACATTCTTTGAGTACCTCAGGGTCTTTTGAGAGAAGACAAGTTCCATCTCCAATGGGGGAAGAAGGTTGGGAAGTACTATAAAAATTTTAAAAAATTTTCAAGTGAAAATTTTTTTTCTGATTTTTTCAGAATATTTTTCAGAAATTTTTTACACCAACTAACAAGTTAGTCCTCACTAGTTATATTCTGAAGGGAACATATTCATAGTCCATGTTCCTTTCAGACCAGTTATAGTTCGAAAGGAACATGTTCATAGTCAATGTTCCGTTCACACTAGTTATAGTTCGAAAGGAACATGTTTCTTTTCGCAGGAGTTATAGCCCTACGGGAACATGTTCCTTTCACACTACTTATAGTCCGAAGGGAACTCAATAAATATTTCAGAATTTCTGCTCCCCCACGTTGATCTTTATGGTCTTCGATCCATTGGGGTCTACTCCCAATTAATTTTTTAAATTTATTTTTAACAATAATTTATTAACCTGTTAATTAGGCAATCAAACCCCATATTTAATTAATTAATTGACGGAAATAATTAATTAAAAAAAAGAAAAATAAAATTTATTTTTAACTGTTCTCTCTCTCAAGACAACTTAAAAATCTTTGAAAAAATCAAACTCGTGAATGGATGAATCATTTTTGGTAAATTTGGTATCATTTGATAGAGGAGAGTATTTGCTATAAAATAAGCTGAAAAGCAGAATTTGAGAGAAAGGAGAAAAATTTTTTGGACAAAAAATTGAAAGGGGTATATTCCAGAAACTAGCCTATATTTTGTGTGACCTTGTTCAACTTTTAGGTTTATATCTCAAGAATGGTTTAATATTTTAAATTACTTTTGGTACGCTTCGAAAGAGGAGAAAATTTGCTACAAAATTTGTGAAAAATAAAAAATTTAGAAAATATTCTGAAAAAGTTGTGGTCGATAAATAAATGTTGAAGCGAGAAAATAGAGGGTGACTTTGGTCAAGTTTTAGGGGTGTATCTCAAGAAAGGATTAACTTTAAAAAGTTGTTTTAGTATCATTAAATAGAGGAGAAAATAAGCTACTAAGATAAAAAAAATAAAAATTTTCGGATAATAATTTAAATAGTTATGGTCAAGAAAATAAACTTAAGGTTAAAATCTGATGCAAGACAGTGGGTAAGTTTTAGCCTTATAACTCAAGAATGGATAGACCATTTTAAATAATTTAAAGACTAATAGATAGAGGAGATAATGGGCTACAAAATAAGGTAAAGATCAAAAATTTAGGAAATCTAACAAAAAAGTTATGGTTAAAAAACTAGGCTAGGTCATATAAATTTAAAAATAAAATTTAAAAAAATTTTCAATTAAAAATTAGGTAAAATAGAAAAAAATGCGCATTTTGTGTGGGAAAGAAGAAATGTTAAAAATATATAATTCTTTATTTAATTGATTACAATGCGTAGATAGAAAATAGAAGTAATCACAAAAAAATAATTAAATTAAAAAAGGAGAAAAGTAGGTGGAGGGATGCGAAAAGATTTTGTTAAAGCTAATTTATTTTTACCACTAAAATTTTTTTATTATTTTTTTTGAGGGTGGAAAATGATAAATAAATTAAGGTAAAATTAATAAAATGTATTTTTGTGTATTTTTGCGTTTTCTGTGTTTTTCCGATTCTTTTGAATTTTTCGGATTTTTTTTGCTTTTTTCTGGATCTCTTCAAAAAGCGCCTTTGATCGAGGGCTTATATCTTTACGAAAATAGCATCTAGAACAAATTAATTTTTCAGAAATATTCTTGATGGTGATACCCTAGAGTGTGTTAAATTTTAAAATTTTTTGTTTAGAATTTCAAAAGTTGTAGGGAAATTGACTAATCTGAAAGGTGATCTTCTGGGTTGCCCATTTTATTATTTTTTTAGCATAACTTGAGAAATTCTGATTCAAAAATTCTGAAATTTTTAGCGAAGATAGTCAACAATATTGTTGATAATTAGGCAAAATTTGAAGTTTCTAGATAAAAAATAGGCTGAGTTATAGGCGAAGGAATAGGTGTCACTAAGCTTAATAATACTAAAAATTGGGTATTTTCAGGAAAAAATTTTTCAAAAAAATTTAAAAATTTTTTTTACATTTTTTCTTTAATTTTTTGGCTTTTGATTTAAATAAAAATAAAAATTTTTTTGTGTTTGGTATTAAAAATATGATAAAATAATCTTTAATATTTCTTTAAATTCGATAATGATAATGGCGACATATTTTACTCAAATAAATAAAGGAATAAAAAGAAATTGAAAGAGTAAATAATTAATTTTTTTTTAATTTTAGGAATTAAAGCAACAAAGAATTTTAATTCAAAAAATTAATAAAAAATTAAAAAAATATTTTTGAGAAAATTTTATCAAAATTGTATTTCTTGGTGTAGTGGGACATATTTTGTTTTTAGCGAGAAAAGGTCGAAGGTTCGAACCCTCTTGGGTGTAAAACTTTTTTGTAGTCGGAAAAAAATATTTTTTAAAGTGTAATTTTATTTAGCGTCTAATTAAGTATTAAGAAAATTTTGCGGACAAAATTTGCGGATTTTAAAGAATAAAAATTTAAATCAAAAATAGTAGAGCGATAAACCGACTCTCCAAATCCATTGAAACAAAATTGAGTATATTAATTAAAAATATTTTTTACGCTCGATATTGCGGCTCACTGTAAGCAAGTCTTCCTTCTTATTACGCAACGATTTCTTCCCCTGATTTTTAATAGTGATTTGACCCTCTGACACATCTTTCATTAAGGCTTCGTTTATATTCGACCCCTAAATTGACGTATTATCGAGATTCGATTGTCCCGATTGTTTATCTTCTTTCTTTTTTTCTATCAAAATTTTTGACAAAAAATTTTTTCAATTAAAATCTCTTTACCCATATTTTTTATTCAATTCATTATTCTCGTTATTGGGTGCGCAATCAATTTTGATTAAAGGTTGTCGAAATGTTGAATGTTTTCCTTTTGATGTTTTCATTTTTTTTATTTTAATTTAAAAAATGATTAAATTATTGGCAAAAAATCTTCTAAACATTTAAAAACAACTTTTAAATTTAAAGAATAAAAAGTTTACTTATACCCCCTGGGGCTGAAAAAAAATCGCAGCTCATAATGAGAGGTGTATTTTTAAAATTTTTAACTTCCTTTTTCTCTATAGCCATCAGAGGTGGGTCGGAACAGTTAAAGGTGTCGGAAGTCGGAAGTCGGAGATTGGAACTGGCTCAAAAGTCGGAACTGAAGGAAAAAACGTCGGAAATCGGAATTTCGACCCTCTATAGCCAACTAAATTAAAAATAGTAACCTAACTTAGAGGGTAGGTGTATTTTAAAGGGGGTGAGGTAAATGAGCCAAAGCTATTTATAAATGAGACAAAATTGACAAATACAGTTCCAAAATAGAAGGCTCGAAGGAACAGAGTAAATCTCGACAACTGTCTTTCTTGGTGTAGTCGGATATATTTTTGTTTTTAGTGAAAAAGGGTTAAGGGTTCGAACCCTCTTGGGTGTAAAACAATTTTATAGGGGAGATACTTAAATTAAAACAAAAAATTAATTCTTAAAAATTATTTTTTTGATAAAAAAATTTTTTTAAGGTTAAAAATTGATCAAAATTTAAAATTAATTCAATTATTTTAATAAAAAAAAGGAAAGAATTCAATAGAAGAAAAAATTAATTTTGTCCTTCTATTAAATTAATTAAATTTTTTCTTGGGTCAAATTAAAACGGAAATAAATTAAAATCAATTTTTGTGTTTAGTGAACTGATGATAAAAATATTATAAATGAAGAGATTTTCTTTTTACATTTTTAATTAAAATTTGAGGGGAAATTTTTACAAGAGAAATAAAAATAAAGGGTGACAAGAAAGTAACTGTACAGCTTATTTTTGAGATAACTTTACTCAATTTTAAGATAACGGGATTAAACAAAGCTTAAATAATAGAAAATTAAATAAGGAACAAACAAATTAAGAATCCTTGAAGTACCCCCCCCCTTTGCTTGGATACAGAGTCGAAGGCGAGTGGGACGATTTTCAGCAAAGGTTCGCACCTAATCTGCCGAGATTTCCTTACATTCCCGAACGTGTGATCATCGAGACGACTCAAAACTTTTGGGGTATTAAGAGCAGACCTTTCCCTCCAAAATACCTAAAAGGTAATTCATCCGACTTCGATAGTACGGTATTCATTTTTAAAAATTCTCAATAAATGCATTCCAGAAACTTCTTAAAAATATTTTTTGAATAGAAAAATCAGGCACATTACACAAAAGGAGTTAATCCTTTGTACATTTTCCTTCAAAAATATTTCCATATAATAAAGGTTGCAATTAAGCAATAATGTCTACAGGAAATGGAGATTAATTTAAACAGGTACAGCCCAAAAGGGCGCGAGGCCCCGGCGTAAAGCCATAAAATCCTTCAAAATTTCCGAATTTTACCAAATTTAGAATTAAACGGGTCCTCTCATAGAGCTAACAAATAAGTTGATTGGTACCAAAGGTGATAAGGGCCAGAAAATTTTCTAACTAGTAAGTAATGGCTTTGTGCCATTATGGTCGTACGCCATTTTAGATTAATAATAACGTTAATAATATTTTTGGTTTAAAAATTGGATTGCCTTTAAAAAAATTATTTTTTCTATAAAAATTATTCCTTATTTTAAAATTGCATAAAAATTTTTTTGAGCTAAAAAATTATTCGTTTAATGTAGTTGACCTTGCATATTTAGTTGTAATACCTTGTTTTTTATCCTTTTTAAAAAAAATTTTTTTTGGGTTATTCTCTTTTTCTTGGTTCTTTCCTGTTTTGTATACTTACTTATGTTGATCTAATTTTACTTTGTTCACTTATTCTTGTCCGCCTGGTTACTACATATTTCGAAATTTAATTTTTCTATTTGGCAGTTACATTTTAATGGAAGACAGACAAAGTTAAAAGGAAAGAGACTTTAAAATAAACAAAATTTAAATAAAAGTGATACATAAAATTGTGGAGAATATTTTAGGAGAATATTTTAAGAGAATAAAAATTGAAGAAAAATTTTTTATTTCCAAACAAACTCTTTTTTAATTGCAAAATTTATTTGGCCTTATACTATGAGAAGCGGAACATACTTGTTCTTATCTACGTATGTAACTAACTTCTTGCCTAAGTGGAGCAAGAAAAATAAATCCGCACGCATCGTTCTGTCATAAGCGTGGCTTAATTTTGAAGAGAGAGAGAGACATTTAACCAAGTTTGCCCGTGTATTTGATGTCTCGTCTCTCCTTCGCGTGGCTCCTCGTTTGTAGCTCCTCCCCCTCTTTCCCTCTCTTTTTCAACAAATTTTCTTTTGAGAAGAAGCATCAAGGAAATCGACCTTCCTAAAAAGGAAGTATTGAAAATTGATCCCGCCCTTCATAAAAGAAGCCAAAAATTCAACTTAAAGCTTAAAATAAAGACGCCCATACATACATACTCCAATTGATTCACTTTAATAAGTTTTCTGCATACATTAAAGTTTATTTTAAAGTTTTTTTTAAAGTTTTTCACCCCTTAATTTATAAATTTACCCTAAAGATATACACTCTCAATATCGTTTAAACCTGAAGACCTACACACTCAATGCGTCCTGAAGACCCTGAAGACCTGCAGCTTTGGAAGGGAGTATGGAGGGATTTAGATGGATTAAGGGTACCCAGCTCTATGGAGATAAAGGGAGAGGTACCCAGCTCTATGGAGACAAAAGGAAGAGGTACCCAGCTCTATGGAGATAAAAGGGAGAGGTACCTAGTCTATGGAGACAAAAGGGAGAGGTACCCGGCTCTATGGAGATAAGTACACAGTTCTGAATTTTAGAACCTCTGGTGCGGTAGTTGATCGTGTACTTGAACTCTAAGTGAATAAAGATTTCTACCTCCTTCAATCACACCAAATCCATCGATATCCGCCTATCCCTCCAAATGCCTCAACATTCTCTTTTGAAATTCAGTTAAAGAGTATAGATCTTCAAGGTTCATCGGTAGAGTTTAGGTCTTCAGGGGTAGACTAAATTTACTAAAATAACTCTCCATTTAGTTATCATCTTCAACCAAAATGGGGGATTACTTTAATTATCTTATTATTTTTCTTCTGATTTTTATTTTGTGTGCTGCAATTTTTATGTTTTGCGGGAAAAGCAAAAAGATTGAGACAAAGAAAGTGCCACGAGTATGTCGTTCCACCGGAGAGACCCTTTAAAATTTTGTTTAATTTCAGAAGAAGGCTAGTAACAAAAGCAAAAGGAAGAACAGAAAGCCGAAAAACAGCAAGAAAAGAAGTTCGAGAAGATCCGGAAAGAAGAAAATGGCAATTAAAAACAAGAATAAAGGTACTTAACCTTTAAATAAAAATATTAGGGACCATCAAAATTTAGTAAAATTTAAATTTTTTTAACCCCCCCCCCCCCCCCAAATTGGATTAAAAGTCCCCAAAATTTTGACTGAATTTTGAAAATTTAAACGACTTCCACGCTTGTTAATTATACTCTCTCGCAGGCGCATAAAACTCTTATCAGTTCATTTGAGGCCACACAATTGAGAGAGCATGGTTGTCCCCTTTTATACCAATCATTTGAGCCCTAAGAGGGGATGTAGTGATTAGTAGCACTTAAGAAGGATCGGGGGATTAAGAGGGATATAAAGAGATTGAGAGAGGTATTGTGGATTTGAGGTGATTTTGGAGGGAGATTGTAGATACTTCCAACTTTGTCTTTCACTTTTCCTTTTTCATTGCCTCTGCTCTATCTTACTCTTAATCACTTTTAAAATTATTAACTTCAAAATTCATTAATCTTTCTTTTTTTCCTTCCAATTTACTTCCCAAGAGTCGTATAGAGCAGGGCTGTGCGCCATGGCCTTTTGGCGCTGTTTTTGGCTGATTTTGGCGTTCTGACGTTTAGCGTGTTTTAAGATCTTTAAAAATTGGCGTTTGGCGCGCCACACGAAAATTATGGCGCGCCACACGAAAATTATGGCGCACAGCCCTGATATAGAGGGGTCACCTAAAGGGAGCCCTCTCGCTTAAGAGAGACGTCCTACTAACTCTCGCCACTGAGTTGATGAATTTTAAACCCACTTAACCATCCATTCGTTTGACTCGTCCTACATACTAACACTCGCCACTCTCTTCTATTTTAGGTATCCTTTTAGAAAGAAAAAACGACTCCTCTTCCACACTGACCTGCTTTTCCTATTCAACATTAATTTTAAGAAAGAGAAGCCAAAAGTAAAATTGGAGTCTCTGCCTCTTCTTTTCATGCTTATTAAAGAGAAGCAGATTCTCTCTCTCTGTTTCTCTCTCTCTTTGAATAACGTTGTAGAGGAAAGCGGGGAGAAGTGGAAAAGGAGTTATTTTTTGTTTACAAGAAAAAAGGGGAAAGGGAAGGGGAGTGACTCAATCAACATCAAAATCTCGCTTAAGATGGTTGAGTCGTCCTACTAACTCTCGCCACGGAGTCGATAAGTTTTAAACGACAAATACATATAAAGCAGGGCTCGGATCGACAAAATGCTAATCAAAAGTACAAAAATCATGATTTCAAAGTACATAGGGACAAAATTTCCAAAATTAAAGTGCGCTCAAAATTAAATTAGAAAATATTTAATCGTGCTCAAATCTTTTATATTTCTTACCTAAATGAATCTTTTCTAATAATTTCTTGTTTCCACTGAGCATTTTGTGCATTTCAACGCATGACATGTCAAAATTCGCTTACAGACGAAATAAAGCCCTGACAGTCTTAACCGCAAGCAAGTTACTTTCTTTCGACCACTTTCAGCGCCGCAGGCGAAAATTTTGGCAAATTTCGGGGCCCTTAAGACAGATTTCTCTCATTTTTAGCGCCGCAGGCGAAAATTTTTAGAATTTTGAAGCCCAAGAAGCCAGATTTCTTCCTTTTTCAGCGCCGCAGGCGAAAATTTTGAGAATTTCGAAGGCCGTAGGCCAAAAAAATTCATTTTTTTGCCCAATCCTTTCCCCAAATTCATTTTCAATCCAAAATGTTGATTTTAAAGTACATACTTTCAATAAAGTACAAATTCAATTTCGTAAGTACGGAGGTCGATTTTAAAGTACTGTACTTTCAAATAAAGTACGAATCCGAGCCCTGATATAAAGTCATGTATCTTATTGGAAAATTTAAAGAAAATTTTTAAAAATTATAAATCGCTTGTTATCTTTTTTTATCTTTTTTTTATCTGACAAAAATTTATCTTTTTTCCAGTTACAAAATAAAATTTAATTTTTCAAAGTCTCATTCATTTTTAATAAAAATCAACTTTTGAGATCTGAACTAGAGGTCGGCAAAATTGCATTCCCGGGATCCCGGAACGGGATTTTTTTTCAAAATTTTGTACGGGACGGGATCCCGCGGGATTAATCCCGTAAATCCCGGTAATCCCGTTCTCAAATTTCCCGGGATCCCGCCTTAACCATCCATCTAACACCTTAACCATCCATTCGTCTACCAAATAGATAAAGTCTTCATTTAAACTTCTCTGTTCTCTTCTGTCTTTTCTCAAACGCCTACCATCTCTCGCTCTTTAGGAGTGTATGGAATATGAGAGATACACAAGCTAGACTTAAATTAGGGGAGATTTTTCAAAATTAGTCTTCTCATGTCGAATTTGGAGCTTGCTAGCGAACAGCTAGAGTTTTATGCGTCTTGAATGAGAGGGAGTAATCAAGAGGGATTTGAAGAGATAATTTGCCTAGTCGAAAACACTAATTTATAGCCCAAAAGATCACCATTGAACTCATCCATTAAATGCACATCCGATCAAATTTATGAGAAATTTAGGTCTTCTAAGTGTGGAAAATTGTAGTTTATAGACCGATTAGTCATTGGAAATAAATAAAAATCGATTAAAGATTCAAAAAAAATTTTTAAAAATTTTTCAGCGAAAAATTCAAAAAAATCGAAGGCTAAAAAATCGAAGGCAAGGAAGGCATTGAACATTCAAGAAGCAATGGAATTTGCTGGACAAGCTATGGAGTGTACGAATTTGGAGGAGAATACCTGGGAGGCTGTTGCTGACCAGGTCCGGCTTGTTAAATTTAAAAGAGAAATTTTTATTTTTTTGGAAAGGTTTTTTGAATTTAAAAATTCCATTTTTGAAGTTAAAGTGAATTTTTAAAAATATTTTGAGAAACAAAATTTTTGTTAGCTACCAAAAGAGAGTGTTTTAGATGTGAAATTTATTATGAAATTTTTACAATTTTAGCAAAAATATACCGGAGACCAAAATATAAGCCCCAAAGTTTTCTTTTAAACATATAAAGAATTTCTTTTTATTTAAAATATGTTTGTCGATGGTGCAGTGGCAGCGTGCTTGAATTTGATCTTTTTCCCCAAGTTCGAATCCCGACTGTGAAAATTAATTTATTTTGACCACGAATATGATAATTATGCGGTTAAAAATATAATAGAGTTTTTGAAAATTTTTTAAATTTTTTTGAACTTTCTTAAAATTTTTTGAAAATTTTTTAAAGTTTAAAAAAAATTTTTTTCAACAAATTAATTTGAATAAATAAAATGAAAATAAATATAGTAAATAAATATGGTCAAAAATACATAAATAAAATTAAAAATCTTCTATAAAATAAAAAATTTTTTAAAAAAATTTTTGAAAAAAATTTTTCTTTTTTCCACTGTAGAATTATTACATATATTTGTGGATAAAATAAATTAATTTTTCCAGTCAGGATTCGAACCTGAGGGAAATAATTAAATTCAAGAACGCTACCACTGCACCACCGACGAACACATTGGAGACCAAAAAGAAATTCTTTATATACGTGGAAAAGATAACAATGAGGGCTTATGTCGAAGCTTATCGAAGCTTATACCAAAGTCCCATTGACCCCAAAGGATCAAAAGAACACCGTTTGGACGGTGTTAAAAATTGAACTTTTCCTTTTAAAATAAAAATTTCTCTTTAAAAATAAAATTTTTTAATTATAATTTCCTCTAAAACTGTTGCTTATCCTTTATACCACACACCTATTTAATTGAATTATGTGTCAAAGAATACAAATGATAGCTCATTTAACTCGAAGATACCAGCTGGTCATCTATCCTTTTTTTAATTTAAAGACGCAATGATTTACTTGCTATACTAGTGTGCATCGGCCGACCCGATTCCCGAAAATCTAAAATTCCTGACGTTTTTATGGTTCCCGAAAATTTTTGGAAAAACCTCTAAAAGGCTTGGCAATACACTGAATGAGTTATCACTTGATATATTTTAGATATGTACAAGCGAAAATAATGAGGGTGTGGCATAATAGATGGAATTAGAGCAGCTCAAACTCGTTTAACCGAAATGAAACCGATAACTGAATTTTGGGCAAAGTTTGGGACAGCGCCGGACCCTGTTCATAGTTTTTTCTGGACTCCCTTATCCTCAAAATCCAAAAATTTTCTACTACAGCGTAAAAAAAGGAATTTTAGATTTCTTGACTATTTTACAGCTTTTGTCAAGATTTTGACAAGGTTTGAGCTGCTCTATCAATAAATACCATCAAAATGAAAGTATAGAGAGAGATTTAAAAATTAAGCTTTACTTAAATATAGTTTTAAGAAAAAATTACTCTAAATTTTTATTAGCCTTCAACAAGGCTCGAAATTTTGATTCGTCCCCAAAAAGACCTAAAATTTAATAAAATGGAAAGAATTGTAAAGTAATGTAGAGCAAAAAATTAATAATTTTAAAGGAAAATTAATTCCTTAATTGTAAATTTTTACAGAATTCTATCTCGGGAATAAATTGGCAAGTGGCAGCTACGCAAGCTTCTGCTGCTGCTTCTTCCTCCGTTGCTTCAACTTCCGCTGCCTCGTCTTTTGCTGCTTCCTTTGCTCTCCAAGATTATAAGGAACGACTCTTCAACGTTCTCCCAATAGGAGTGTTCCCAATTTTGTTTATGACCAAGAGGAAAAATAAACGTGCTGGACGTATTGGATTTTTCGAATTTTGTTAAAAATTCTTATATTAAATTAAGGCGGCTTTACCGGTTACGTTGAGACAGAAATCTGGGACGCCCTTCCTCGTCCACTTACTGTCACTGGAAATGTCACCGACATTATGAGAGAGAGCGTATGGAGGGCTCGAGTTTATGCAAACAAATTTATCAAAGAAAATAATTATGGAAATATTGACAATACTAAATTAATAGTTGATATGTTGCCGGTAAATAAACTTTAAATTCTGCTTTATGCAGTAAAAAAATATATTAGAATGATATTAGCACATTTTGCTAATTAAATTTTTAACTCAAAAGGGGAAACAAATTTTGTAAATTTAAAAAAAAAGAGACAAAGTCGCGTTCTGCGACAGAAAATAATCTTACACGTAGCTTTAACGATCATAGTTTCTGATTAAAAATGGTCTAGATTTTTGTCTGCAAAATAAATCTCGAATATCACTTTTTTAACGTAATGGAAAATTGACTAATCGAAAAACATGGTTGCGAAAAAAGGGGCCTTTATTCAAAAAAATTTAAAATTAACAAATTTCTGATATTTTAGGCGTCTAGCTCAAAAGACGGTCCTTCTGGAGGTGGAGGAATATTAACTAGTATTCTCTCACGTGTGTTGGGACTGGCTCCGTTAAACAGTCAGTTTTTGCTAATTCTTATTGGGGCACGGATTTGAATTGAAATATATTTTTTCCTAAATATGTAGAGAAAATCCTAAATTTGTCATTAGTTGTGAACTAACAAGGGAACAGGAGAGGGGAGAGGGGGGAACATCGTCACTGTCGTTGCGAATTCGATATATTTTTTGATACCGTTCGATAGAGGACTCGCGACTTCCTATTTCGAAGTCATGCCCGTTCTCTTGCAAAATAACTTTGGGCCGAGTTATGGCCATTCAAAGTTAAACCGCTAGAGTCTGGAATTTTGGGGTAGATGGCAACTTTTCTCTTATTTCTCTTCCTAAAATAACCGCCCTGCCCACTTTCTCTTTGTTTAACGTCGTGTCTGTACAAAAGACCGGTGCAAAGAAGACCGGAACGGGCAAAAAGGGATTAAAAGACAGGGACGGGTAAAAAGGGGTTAAAATACCGGAACGGGCAAAAAGGGATTAAAAGACCGGGACGGGTAAAAAGGGGTTAAAATACCGGAACGGGCAAAAAGGGATTAAAAGACCGGAACGGGCAAAAATGGGTTAAAAGACCGGAACGGGCAAAAAGTGATTAAAAGACCGGGACGGGCAAAAAGGGATTAAAATACCGGAACGGGCAAAAAGTGATTAAAAGACCGGGACGGGCAAAAAGGGATTAAAATACCGGAACGGGCAAAAAGTGATTAAAAGACCGGGACGGGCAAAAAGGGATTAAAAGACATAAATTCGAAGGCCAGTTTAGTGCGGTCTTTTCTGATTCATGTTCTGATTTCTGGTTTATATTCTGACTTTTATTAGTACGCTAGTAAATCCGCGGAAAAAAGTTACTAAAAATATATCGAATTCGCACTGACAATAGACATACATATTTGTCAATTTTATTAAATCCGTGCCCTAATTAAAAAATTATTTTAAAAAATTATAAGAAAATAAAAATATTTGTTTGGAGGGAATTTTTAAAATTAAAAGCGATCCTTTTCAAAAAATTAAAGTTTTGAATTTAATTGAGGCTTTGAAAAAAAATAATAAGGGTATATAAAATGGAAATATTTTTCTTTTAGAATAATTCCCCTTTTTTCCCGATTTTCTAAAACTGAGAAATTTATTTAAATTGAAAAAAATTTTTTAATATCAGATTGTGCCATTGTAGCTGAAATTAATTATGATGGTGATTTAATTGCAGTGGGAGGCTTGGAATCGAAATTAAACGCGGCCTTGCGTACAAAAATTACTACAATAATAATGGCAAAAACTATGGAAGTCTCTTGGAGCAAAGTCGATAAAGCCATTACAAAAAAGTTTAACCCAATTTTTGTTGAGAAATATAAACAGGCGTTTACAATTGTGTTTCCTGAAATGAGGAAACGAGGAAAATAAAATTCTGAAAATTTTCATTTGAACGTTTTATTCTTTCTTTTTTTGACTGCTTCTATTTAAAATATTTAAAATATTATACTTCTTCCTCATCTTCTTGCACTTATTTTACAATTTTTTTCCTTGCCAAAACTTTTACTTTATCAATTTATTTTCATTTCTGGTTTTAATTTTTCTGGGTTTTATGGACAAATTTATTTAAATATATTTTTTTTCTTCATCATTTTTGTTAAATAAATATACACTCACTTATAGATAGAGATGTCCGAGACCAAAATTTTTCCAAGACTCAAGACTCAAGACCCAAGACAAAATTTTTTCCAAGACCAAGACTCAAGACCAAGACCAAAACTCCAAGACTCAAGACCAAAAATAATACAAAACTCGAGACAATTTTTAGGTCCCATAGGTCAAATTTTTGGTTTATTTTTTGTTATTTTGACACGATCACAGTCAACTTCAGCACAATCACCTATAATTTCGAAAAATCTATGCGAAATTCAAAGAATTTTGGGGAATTTATTCGGGTGGAAAATCAATGAGATATATTATTTCAGAGGATTTGGGTGGATTAATGGGATATTAGCGACATCAAAGGGTAAAGCCAAAATTTTGGCGACACCCAACGTTAGCCCTCTTTGAAACCGACCCCCTGGCCACGCCCTTGGATTAAGGAGGATATTGAGGTCTAAAGGGGAAAAAATCATCTTATCCCAGCGCCGCAGGCGAAAATTTTGGGAATTATGAAGGCCAAGAAGCCAAAAATCTTTCTTTTCCTGCGCCGCAGGCGAAAATTTTGCGAATTTTAGAAGGCCGTAGACCAAAAAAATTTGACTTTTTCAGCGCCGCAGGCGAAAATTTTTTGAATTTTGGAGCTCAGAAAGCCTGATTTCTTCCCTTTTCCGCGCCGCAGGCGAAAATTTTGAGGATTTTGGATGGCCAAGCACTAGGTCCAAAAAGGCCAAAAAACCAAGACCAAAAAATAAAACCAAGACAAGACCAAGACAAACACCCCAAGACCAAGACCAAGACCAAGACCGAAAAAAAACCAAGAAAAGTCTTGGTTCCAAGACCAAGACCAAGAGTCTCGGACATCTCTACTTATAGATACACTTTATTTATACATAAATACGCTCTCTTAAATTTGGTAGATTATTTGGTGGGAAGAACTTTCTGCCCCCAAATTAGGATAAACCTTATTATGAGACCACTTTCTCTCTGTCTCATCGGGTGTATCTAAAAATGAGGTCTGCATTTTTCAATTAAAAAATTTTTGTTGATCTACATATCTAGTATTTATTTTTTGAAAGTAAAATAAAAAATGAAAACGTCAAAAATATTTAATAAACAAAAACTATTTTAATTAATTTTTACTGCTACACTTCTTTGTAGAAGATTGGTTTGCTGCCCATAACTATTTTAGTAATTATCATCCGAAAATTTTTATTTTAATTATTTTAGTAGCTTATTTTCTCCTCTATATAATGATACTAAAACGACTTTTTAAAGTTAACCCTTTCTCGAGATATAAGCCTAAAAGTTGACCAAAGTCACCCTCGATTTTCTCGTTCCAACATTTATTTATTGACTATAACTTTTTCAGGATATTTTCTAAATTATTAATTATTAGCTTATTTTGTAGCAAATTTTCTCCTCTTTCGCCTGATACTAAAAGTAATTTATAATATTAAACCATTCTTAAGATATAAGCCTAAAATCTGACCAAGGTCGTATAAAATATAGGCTAGTTTTTTGAATATACC